CTATACATATACATATACATATACATATACATATACATATACATATACATATACATATACATATACATATACATATACATATACATATACATATACATATACATATACATATACATATACATATACATATACATATACATATACATATACATATACATATACATATACATATACATATACATATACATATACATATAACATATACATATACATATACATATACATATACATATACATATACATATACATATACATATATATACATATACATATACATATACATATACATATACATATACATATACATATACATATACATATACATATACATATACATATACATATACATATACATATACATATACATATACATATACATATACATATACATATACATATACATATACATATACATATACATATACATATACATATACATATACATATACATATACATATACATATACATATACATATACATATACATATACATATACATATACATATACATATACATATACATATACATATACATATACATTACATTACATATACATATACATATACATATACATATACATATACATATACATATACATATACATATACATATACATATACATATACATATACATATACATATACATATACATATACATATACATATACATATACATATACATATACATATACATATACATATACATATACATATACATATACATATACATATACATATACATATACATATACATATACATATACATATACATATACATATACATATACATATACATATACATATACATATACATATACATATTCACTTTTTTATCGTCGTCCCTCCTCTCAAAAAGTGACTAATACATTTCGAATATATCATTACTATGCCAAAAAATTGTACGATAATCGGGCAGCAGAAAAGATTATTTTTGAAATGCGTTCAAAAATGATTATTGATCACCCAAAATATATCACCATCTTCAAATTAAGTGTGCTAATACAGTAAATTAACTTTAAATTATTAATATGGAGATTTATTCTTAAATTATGCCGACATTACTATATCTTGTTTCAATATAGAATCAGGAAGCTAGAAAAAAGAATTATTTGAGATTCGTAGCACCATGTTCAACTAAAAATTTGACAATATCTGTTGAATTAGCTTTAATTGCAATACTGAGAGGACATTCATTAATATTGGGAGAATTATATAAAACAATGATAAGTATAAAATGAAATAGAATTTCATAAAACAATGAAAAACATGAAAAGAAATAGAATTTCATAAAGCATTGATAAATATGAAAAGAAAGAGGATTTTATAAAACATTGATAAATATGAAAAGAAAAAAAAAATCTATAAAACATTGATAAACATGAAAAGAAATAGAATTTCATAAGGCAATGAAAGATATGAAAAGAAAGAGAATTGTATAAAACAATGCTAAATATGAAAAGAAAGAGAATTTCACAAAACAATGAAAAATATGAAAAGAAAAGGATTATAAATTTTGTTGATATTTCCTCCATTAGAAAGTAAATAAGATGCAACACCATAATTTCCGAAATGCATACTTTCTGCTATTGAATCAAAAGTTTGTCCAAAATTTGATTTAAGGTACTGAGCAATTTCATAGTTTCGATATTTCAATGCTGTATTAATCATGTTATCAAATGATTTACCATCTTCTATCATCTGCATAAAAATCTCTTTATTTCCGCCTTGAACAGCATATTCTTCGGAGTTAGAAGTGTAGTTACCTCCGACGTTTTTCAAGTAATTGAAACACAATTCCGAGCCAAATTTAATTGCACAGTCAAGTGGTGTGATTAGATAATTTATTTTCTTATTAATATCAAGATTTGGGAATTTCGATTTAAGGTCATCAACTTTATCCCATGCAATATATAGTATAAGGGAGATTCTGTTGAATATAAATTCAGAATTTCTTCTTCTTTCATTTTAGGTGCAAAATTTTCGAATTTGAACCCTCTATAGTGTAGAAGCGTCACCAATTTCCAATTTTTCGGCTTGATGATGCATGAGAATTCGTTTGAAATCTTTTGGTAAAGTTCTGCAAATAATTTAATATCTTTCTCACGAATTTGTGAAATAATATCAATCAAATAAAGTGACATTTGGATAGATATCTTGTTATTCTTAATGAATTCTATAATTTGTGCAGATATTTCTAAAATATTATTGGAATTGACACCCCAAATGATTTTCGATGCTAAACTAGGGTATTCAAATACTTCAATTGGCTTAATATCACTAAATACACATTCAGCTTCATTTCTTGATTGCTCAGAACTTGACATGTTTCTAATAATTTTGCTCTGGCACTTTTGATCAAAAAAATGTGACTAACACCTCATTATTGATATTTTGAATAGTTTACATTGATTCCCATTAGATTCTCCGGATATTAATAAACTATAGTATAATCCAATACTATAATCCAGTGCTTTCATGGCCATTTTATAATATTATTAGATGCTTGCAACTGAATAAAAATACACACTTAATAAAAATTCTTTATAATTGTAATAATAAAAAATAGAGAATTTACTCACTAAAACAAATAATAGGGGAAAATGAAATCAAAAAGTTAATTAGTGAAGGAAGAAGATGGGTAGCATCTCCTGTTGTTTGCTTTTCGCTTGCACCCAACATTCTCCTGATGTTTTAGGCGGATAATCTTGAGTTTTGATGGAATTCTGCTTGTTGTCCTTGATTTCGGCTGTTGCATTATCAAGATGCATTTGCAATTTGTTGTTCTTTTGCTCAATTTCGGCTTTTGCTTCATTAGCCATTTTGTCAACAGCTTCTTGAATGTTTTCTTGAAGTTCTTGGATTGTTGAAAGAGTTTTTGTAAGTTCAGTATCTTTCTAATCGAACTCTACTTTGATTTGTGTAAGGTGCTGAGAAATTTTCTTCTTTTCTTCTTCTGTTCTTCTCAATTCTTCCTTGAGAGTTTCGTTTTCTTGTAAAATTTCTTCTTGGTTCTGTTGTGACTTTTCTGATGTTTCTTGTTATTCTTATTTGAGTACTTTCAGCTTCTTCTTTGTATCTACAAGCAATTCTGTAAGTCCATGGAGCTGTTACGTTAATTGTCTAATGATATTTATGATCTGATCTGCGGAAGTGTTCTCTTGGAGCTGTTAGTATGCTGTGATTGCAACAAGTGTTGATTTCATTGGGTCAAACATGTGTTTCATGCTATCAATTCTGTTCTGAGAACTCAGATCTGATTAATATGGGAATTTCCACCAGCTTTCATAAAATCTTCGAATAATTATCTGAATAAGATGTAAGTCTTAAAGTGATATTATATAGTTTATTATTGAATGCTGAAGTATGTTAGCAAATTGTGTTTTATAAATTTGCGATATTAAAACATAGACTAGATTATTTCATGGGAAAGATATAGTTTATTATATACAAACAATATTATACTATTAGTTTTGGCCAGAATTTTCTCTAAAGAAGAATATCGCATGCTCTTCAAGCCATTTTGGAATAAATTCAGGACAACCTTCAACATTTAGAGATTTCATGAATCCATAAATAGAACAGGTAAAAAGAGGATGAGAAGAAACTACAGGATCATCAACAAAGTAATTTTCTGCTTCGACGTGGTAAGATTCTCCTTCATTAATATCATAGAATATCATTGTCAAATAGTGTTGAAGCTCTGCATAAACATCACTTGTATTAGGATGGCATTTGAAAAGGAACATAAGAGAAAGTAAATAATCAAATCTTCCAGTAGTAAAACAGACATTACTAATTACATATTGAGCAAGTGCAATCATGTCTTCGTTGGGATGGAAATCCGTGCAATTTAATGAATAAAAACCTAAAATTTGAGATAAAAATCTCAATACGGAATTTTTTGAATTAGATGTTTGCTCAGAATCAGCATTCGATATCAGATATTGCTTACCAGCTTCCAATATTAAGAGAATTAGCTCATTTGGATTAGGATTAAATGAGATATAATTCAATAACAAAGAACCAACGAATCTTTGAGCAGAATTATCCAATACAGTTGGTAATATCTTACAAATGAATTCGAATGTCTCTTGGAAATATCCAATTCGACAAAGAAATGAAAAACATTTGGACAAATACGGAAGAACTGTAATGCTCAGTTCATTTTCAGAATAAGAAACTATGAAATCACGTAAAAAAGCAACATCAAAAGGAATTTCAACATCATTTTTAGGCAATTTGTTGAATAATGTTGAAATTAGCTGGATTGCTATGTCAAATGTTTCTGTATTACTCGTAAAATGATCTAAAACTGGTAGAAAAGCATCAAACAAGAAAGGATAATATTTTGATTCCGAAATAAAATTGTTAATGATCCTTAAACAAGCATCAGTGGTATCATTATCTATAAATTGGCTCATTGTATTCTTTAACAACTCAAAAAACAGTTGAAAAATGTCAGAATTGAAATTATTTGAAATTTGAAGCAGATTATTGATCAATTCAAGGAGAGAAATAACAATCCCTGTTTCAAAGAGTTCAAAAAATCCAAAAGTCTTAAGAATTGCCTCTAAACAAAAGTCGGAATAAACTTTTTTGTTCTTTGTTATGCCTCTGCATGCATTGAAACTTATCTTGAAGTCATTATATTGTATAAGTTCACTCATATCTTCTATCAAACCTTTGTAACAGGCTAAAGGAATGTAATTACAAACTGCCAATGGATCATCCACGTTTAAAATGGCTGGAATTGCAATAGTTATCAAATTACAATCAACTACTGCGTAAAGACTCTGTCCATACATGTATAAAATTGGTTCTTGTAGATTTGGAAATTTTTCCATTAATTCTAGGCTTAATTTGCATAATTGATCGGATTCAGCATATGCAAAATACTCAAAACAGCAATATCTTAAGGTTTTCTCCCTTTCTTCTTGGTTGATATCATATGATGAAAGATAATCAGCGAATAAAAGGAAAGCTTCTGGATCATTGAGTATTAAATTACGATCTTGAACTGGTAGTTGGCATAACATGCAGATATAAGGATATAATTTGAAAATATCAATATTAAATTCTGGTTCTTGGTCTTCTTCGGCCATTTCTGGAAGATTCACAATGATATTGTTGAGCCAATCAACCAAACAATATCCAAGGAATGAAATGTTATATTTTTCATCAATAAATTCGAAATTTTCGTTTTCGAAAGGAGTCAAATTAGCCAATTGCTTGATCTTTTCCTGCAACAGATCGTATAGCTCTTGGCTCTCAGGATTATACTGTAAAATTGGGAATAATTCAATAAATAAAGGAAAATTTTCGTAAGTTATTTCATTTTGATAAATTTCAAAAGCTCTTTCGGCTAAAGATTGTGATGCATCGTCATTTAATGCTATAATTTTAATGGCCAAAATTAATAAATTTAATTCTGTTGATTCGTTGACAATATCTATACACTCTGAAAGTATAAAGTCTGGACATTCATGTCTTGTATCATTTGCTATGATTTTTGAAGAACAATATAAAACATCTTCTGGAAATTTCTGAAAATAAGTAAATAAGTCAGACAAATTGCTTACAGTTAAGTATTTTGTTATTATTTGATTAACTTCAAAGCGTAAGAGTTGAAAATCAACTGAAATAAAATTTAAAAATGAAATTACAACTGATTCATTTAATGGGATCTTAAAAAACTCGATTGTCTTTAATGTTATATACTTTAAATGAGAGGTTGTTAAATCATCGAATAAAAATTCTATTAATTGTTGAATAAATTCGGGATCTTCCTTATATTTGTCAATTATTTCGTGTACTTGTAATCTAATGTCATTATTTTCCGAGCCAAAATTTGAAATTAGAAGACTAACATCCATCAAATTTTGTCTCCAAAATAAAAATGAATTATTATTTTATAAAGCTCATGACATATATCTACACAAACCATAAAAGTCCGAATTTTCAAAAAAAATCTCATAAAAAAATGAGGATCATTTAACATCACACTTGATCGGTCAAAAAAATGAGAGTGTGTTAGAAAAGTGGTAATTCCACCCTTAATTAAAGACAATTGAAAAAGTTCAATTCATTTAAATGAGAATTTTTATTAGATATAGTTAACACATCCAGAAGCGTCGAGTTTGATGAACTGTCTCTTGTTGAGGGAGTTGAGTCTCTTCTCGTACATTTCGTCATCCATTCTGAACTTGAGTGCGTCCTTTAGTCTGAGCTTCAAATCCTCTCTGTCGAGAGATTTCTCAAACTTAAGAATTCTTACAACCATTGCATCGATTTGGTTGTCTCTGTTCTGCATGATTGCGTTCTTTGTGTGTTCGTCATCTTTCTGTGAAATAGGAGGGAAAGAGAACGCGATGTTCAATGCTCCAGATTCAACACTTGCCTCTGGATTGATTCTGACCATTTGGTGAACCAAAAGAATGAGATTTCCTGCTCTCTTTCTCTTGAGAATTTCTGTCATTTCTTCAACATCTTTCTGATCAATTTTCGTCGCTTTGGAAATCTGTGAAACAAGCATCGAAGGAACATCATTGAATGCCAACAAGTAACTCGCGTAAAGGCCATTGCACTTGATAGTTTTGATGCCTTTAACACCCTTTACTTCCAGTTTAACACGTGTTAGCTGCAGTGAATGCATGATTCTCTTCTTTTTCTCTGCAACTGCCTTGTTTTCGAAGGCTTGCAAGTGTGGAAGTACCTGGGAAGGAATGATTGCGTCACATGGTTCGATTCCTGGCCACGATTCCTGTGAAAACATCACACAAGAGAACCATTTCGGAATTGATTTCTCAGATCTCAAGGCGTCCATCACTTCGAGTGATTGTTTGAGGCCTTCGAACATCATACGTAATGGTTTTGTGTATTCTGGACCACAAAGAACTCGAAGATTATCCATAAATTTCAGATCATCGTCAACTGTGTGTTTCTTCATGAGGAGAATGCGTTTGGCAAGGAAATATGCATGGTAGGATACGAAAACATCTTTGTATGAAAGGATTTTGAATACATCTAAAAGATGTTCCAAAGTTTCGTCTGAAACTTGGCCAGTGATGAATTCCCTGTTGACTTCGATAGCAAGAAGTCTGGCGGCAACATCAGGAAGGTTGTTGAAGCCTTTGTCGAAGGAAGATCTGATTGTTTTGATATGTTCTGGAGAAAATTGGGCTGCTTCATTGAACATGATCATGGTCCGATGGAGATCAAGGATATGGGCAATTGGATTCTCTAAATTGAAGCAATCGGCCTCGGCTTCGAAAACATGAGATAATCTACGGACAAACTCATTAATTTTATCTGTTTCTTTGGCAAGATTGACACAGATTTTAATGGAATCGGCATTCTTCTCTTTAACAATAACAGGAAGACCAACTTTAACAATTTGTTGGAATTTGGAGGTAAAAATGAGATTATAAAGCTCTCTTTGTAGTTTTCGTAATGATGATGGAGAAATGAATGGTTCTGCATCGTTGATTTCGCTTTGAACGAGAGAAACAGCTTGAGATAAATATTCATGGAGAGGACCTTCAAAAGCAGCATCAACTTGGTCGCGAATGCGATCAACAACTGACTGTATTAATTTCGGAAGGAAGACTTCATCGAAAAGACCGCTATCTTTTACGAAATTAAAAGCGAGTTTTTCCGTTTCGAAGTTTTCAGGAGTTCTGTTGTTATTGTATTCTTTGATGATAATATCACAGACACGGTCAAATTCTGGTAAAGTGCTTTCTAAGTTTGTTTTGATAACATCTTCGAATTTGGAACGAAGAAGAGGCAACCTGTTGGATTTAGTAGATAGAGGAGAGAAAGAAATGGAGATTTCGTTGATTTTTGATGAAATGTCCGTCCAAAACGAACCAATTTGATCAACATTTTTGAATTTAGAAATATGAGTTGTTACGTCGTTTGCAAAATCAACAACATGTTGAGATGTGAAATCGTAAAGCTGATGGCCTTCTGTTGGACTAGTTTCCGTTGGAATTGCTAATTGTCTTGAAATATCAATAAACGACTTGCCAGGAAGAGACAAATCTCCATCAACAAGTATTTTATTAAGATTGTCTTGGATTTCATCCTTAAATAAGTCAAATGTTGGTTGTGGAATATCTTGAAATGGGGATTTGAACACTTTTGTTGAAGATTTGGTGTTTTTGTACATTCCTACAACTATTCGTTTCTGATTTGGATTCATCGTTCCTGCATTTGCATTATCACTCATTAGGAGTGTCACTTTTTTGTGTTTGCTTTACTAGAACAAGGTCTATGATGGATCTAGTTGTTTAGCTTAAGAAATAGAGAGCTATTTATGAGAGGATCTGACTGAAAAGAGCAAGCAATACAATATTAAAATCTTATAAGTTCTTTTCATCTATTCTGAATATACAACTTATAAGATTATGCTTTTCTCGTCAGTGATCTCAACTAATGCTACTTTCTAGCTTTAGATTGGTTGAAAGAGAAAAAATGTTATGAATTTTTTTAAACGAAAATATTTTATTACAAATAAGTCACATATACAGTTGGTTGGTGATGGTATTTGTGTTTCTGTTCCGAGGAGTTATGGTTTTAGTATAAACAATTGTATTAATTTTTGCTCTTTGCCTAAATAGAGCTGCTTGGGCTTTTGGATCTGGAGCATCGTTAAGAGATCTGTTCTTTGTACTTCTTGCTGCCATCATTGCATTTCGGTCAATTTCATCAATTTTATCTTCAAGTTTATGAGCCATTTTTGAAGCTCTTTCACACTCTAGTTCAGCTCTTGCAACAGTCTTATCGTATTGGTTTCTAATCGCCATTTCTCTTGCTGCATGTTTATCTTGTTGTTTTTTAATGAATTCTTGGCGTTTAAGGTTTAATTCTGCTAGATAACGTTTTTTGCCAGCTTCTTTCTCTTGGGCTTCAAGCTCCAAAGCTTGGCTTCGAACATCATTTGCTTCGGCGTATCTTCCAGAAGAAACCATGTATTGTTCACGACATTTAAGTTGCAAAAGAGTGGAACTTGGCTTAAGGAACTCTGATGGTACTGGAGAATCAAAAACTTTGTCAAATTCTTGCAATTCGAGAGAATCATTTATATCCAATTGCTTTAAACTATCGTCACGTTGCTTTGCTGCAGCTTGGAGCTTTTGATCCCATTGCTCTTTAATAGTTTGGAAGTCATTTTGACATTGATTGTATTTTTCAGTGATCATGTCAGTTCTTTGCGTCTGAATTTCTTCATATCTTTCTTCATTTTGAAGAGCAATTAAAGCCCTGGATTGATTAACGCATTTTTCTGCCAATAAATAATCACCTTGTTGTAAAGCTTCTTTTCGTTTCAATCCAAGCGCAACACCAACTTGCTTGCGTACTGATGGATCAATTTGATCAACACTACGACCACAAATAAGTAGTTGTAACGCATAATCTACATCTTCTTGCGTCGGACCTTTTAATGATTGTGTAAAACCTCGTTCTAATAGTTGTGGATTCTGATTTGGATCTTCTGAATATCTGTAATTTGTAATAAATTCGATTGCTGAAGCAATTGTTTTTGAAGCTGGTTGATTACGCCATTCTTTTAATTGACGTTCCTTTTCACGGAGGAGTGGAAGCATAGATGGAAATAATTGAGGATCAATGTCATTCATTTCACATCTTTCATTCATAAGTGCATAAACGACTACCATGGCATCAGGATTCGCTTCCAAAGTGTATTTATAAACATGTGGTCTATATCGAATAGATTTTTGCCTTCTGCTTGTAAGATAGCCTGTTTTTCGAGGACTTCTAGCACTTAAATTCATGATTTTAATAATAACGTAATTGGAAATTTCTAGCTGTCTGACTCAAACTAAAGGCTGTGAAGCACATATTTTTAGAGAGGGTACAAAGCACGCAATAGTGTCTCAAGAATCACTTACCAATTGTTATTTATCTTTGATCTAAATTTGATATCTAGAAATGATTTCTTCATATATAATGTTGAGGAAAATTCGAGCTCATCTTAATGAATAACAATCAATTAATTCAGATTCTTCAAAGATTATCTATCATTTTCAGAGTTTGAAAGAAAATTATACTTTATTTGTATGCTTTCATATAGACTAGAGAATACATCGAAAGGGAATGCGAACGTAGCTTACGATCAACATAACAATGCATATACATTTCAATATCCATGCACATCATATTCAGACTGCACCGACTACGTTGTCAGTCTCACACCAGGAGTGTACAAATTCGAACTTTATGGTGCCTCCTGTGGTTCATATCCTGGTGTAATCTCCACATACAAATTTTCTGACGGTAACTGCACTGATCCCGAAATTGTTTCAAAATATCACGGAAACACTCACTGTACCTTCAATGGAAGCCGTGGTGGTGCAGGAGGCTACATTTCGGGCATCATCACCATTTCACACCGCTTAACCGCATTCATCACTATTGGTGGCCAAGGAAATTATTCACGTACGGCTGACAGTTGTACTGAAGAGTCGGATTTTTATCTCCAAAACATGATTAAAGGCGGATATGGCGGTGGGGGCTTTGCATCCAATTGCTATGCATTCTCAGGGAGCGGAGGCGGCCAAACCGCTGTCAAATTCCACAAAAACGACCTCTGGCATCGAGTTATTGTATCTGGTGCTGGTGGAGGTTCTGATAATTACCAGACGAACGATCCCAACAATGAGCTAAGTGATGATGGATCCGGTGGTGCTGGAGGTGGCTTCGTTGCACAGGGGTATTGGAAGTCGATGATTTACGTTGACAAAAGATTGGCAAACTCCACCTTTGGTTTCACATTCGGATCAGGTGAATCCGCTCAAAGACTTGGATCTCGAAATCCAGAGGGTGTCCAAGAAGTTGGTGGACTAAATGACAGACCAGGTGCTGGTTCTGGCTGGTTTGGCGGTTTTGCAGGCCACTATTGCAATGGCGGCGCAGGCGGTGGAAGTTCGTTTGCGTTGACAAGAGATAATATTGAAGAAACAAGTCAAAAATCTTTTACTGCACATGATACGTTTTTTAATAACGCTCACACCGAGAAATATGCATTTTCGATTAAAGATGGGTATAAATTCAACGAAGTTGAAACTATTCCAGGAATCTGGGAAGGAAACGGACGTCTCATTCTCACGATCTTAGATCCGATCTTTATTCCATCTTGCAACATTATTTACTTCTCTCGTAATTCAAATTTCCTTTTCCTCATTCTATTCCTATTTCTCGATCCTAAATAGATTCTTCTTCATTCATCAATATAACACAACTTTAACTTATCTAAATATTTCATAGATATATCTTGTTAAACTCCTCTTAATGAAGCATGACATGTTAACTTGAAATATTTATTTAATTTCTTAAATCGAATGGGAAAGATATTAAATTAAAATGATAAAAATGAAAGTATTTAGATGAAATAGTTAATAAACCTAGTTATTTTATATCTAATCTAGACGTAAGACTCTTATAATAGTTCAAAAGCCCAAACATTAAAATGCTTTTATCTACAGTAGGAATAACATTAATACTCTATATAAGCTTAAAGTTATATATTTGATATGCAAATATCTTAAGAATATATTTCAGAGTTTCCATAATTATACAATCTATTATCATATAATTCAGGGTAATTCATGAGTTGAAATTAATATAAACTGAATTAACATTTAACTCCTTAATTGAATTGATTATTATTGGTTTTTCTTATGTTTAGAAGCTCGCTTTTTGATAAATGTCCAAATGTAAATCCAATTTAGCTATCTTCATCAATTTTCTATTATTAATGATTGCTCATATGGCATTATTGAACAATGCAGAATGCTATCAAGGATACTTAACTTAGGGAACGATAATTGTCTAAAAAAAAAGAATCAATTCAAATTCATTTGAATTTCATTCTCAAAAAATGGATTTTGACGATTGTAAGAAAGCTAAGCAAGAGAATCAACTCATTTCATGCTACATGTTTGAATTTCACCAAGGAAATCATCCTGAGATATTCTGGAAGTACGGAAAACAAATTGAATTTTTGGATGATATCATGTGGTACACAGTCACTACTCCAATTGCTCAAGATTCAAAACTATGCAGCCCAGAATGCTCAATTTTTGTCACAACATTCGATCATTACAAACTTTATTCGTTTTATTTATTAGTACCCGGTGTTGAAGCGCGTGGCTTTACAAGAACTGTTTGTTTATGCGTAACAATTGACATAAAAACAAAAGTTATCAATCTTCCGAAAAAATTCATTGATTTAATTCAAGATTACTTCATAAAGTCAGTAATACCGTCATATGAACCATTTAAAAAGGAATTTTCAGATTATATAGGATCGCTTATTGCTACAGTTAAGGCTTTTCCTGATTCAGAAGTTTATATAAATCCAATTATCAACGAAATCACTCCAATTGCAAAAGGCTTGAATGTAGAGGTAAATATGAATCAACAGCCTAAGAAACCGGAGTTATTTAATCAAATTAACAATGATCTTCGAAAAGTTGAGAGTTTATTTGATTTTGACACACTTACAGAACAAATATCATCAATCATGAATACTCTTGATGTCATTTTACCTTACGGAAATATTTTTGAATTAAAATATATTGATACAAAACAATTTCTGAATTTTGGAGGTATATATGGTCAGAACTATGCCGATTATGTTATTGACTTATTCCAGAGAGCAGAAGAAATTAATTCCCAGAAATATAATTTAATATCTCTTCTAAAATCGCATGTTTTCCATCATTGCGTGAACTGTATATTCCAGAGTATCCCACTAGTGATTGAGAGCCCTGATATTCAAAGTTGTAAAGAATTGGCAAGAAAATTTTCAATTTTCGTTCCAAATTTCACAAATGATTGTTTAAATCAGGTTGATAAAGTTGATGATAATGTTATCACTGAGAAACACTCAATAATTATAACAAAACACGTTGATCGAGATATGAATCGAATTGTTGGTATTTTAAATCCAGAACTTGGGTACTACGAAGGCCCTTTATGTCCATATCACTCTATAGTTGATAGAGCTTTTGGTTTCCAAACGAAAACCGATATCTCATTTTTAATTAATTGTTTATCAAGATTGAAAGAAATAGAATACAAATTTGTAGCTTTTATGTTCAAGATAAAAGAAGAAAACTCTCTCCAAGACAATCCAAACATCAGTATCTTTGATAAACAGACTCTTTCGAATTGGAACAATATGATGTTACTTTCTGGTGTGTCATCATCAATTCAGACTGTAGAACAGATTCCCATTTCATGGGGTATCGTTGCTTATTATTAATTTTTTTATTTGTTTGTTTAAGTTAAATGTTATGTTTATGTTTTACATTGCTATTAATATTTAATGATATATCTCTATTAATACCTGATTGAATTCATAAAATTTGATATAAAAATTCATTAATTCAAAGAATACTAAACTACCACTTAATAGACTGAATAACTCATTTGGAAACATATTAGTATTTAGTGAACAATTATCATTTTACAAAGAGAGGAAAATGACTGATACACGAGCTCATCAAAGGGTCGCAAAAGAGATTGAAAGAATGGGACATAATCCACCACTTGGTATATTGATGTGGCCTTTGAGCGATTCTCTTGAAAATTTAGAAGCCTCAATTGAAGGATTAAAAGATACTCCATATGAAGGTGGAGAATTTCATTTGTCAATTACAATCCCTCCAAAATATCCTAATGTACCTCCTACAATTAAATTCAAAACTCCAATTTACCATCCAAATATCGATTCTTCAGGTCGTATCTGCCTTGACTTCTTAAAACCACAACCACAAGGTAAATGGACTGCAACAGTATCACTTGAAATGCTTTTAACGCAAATTCAACAACTGATGGCAGAACCTAATCCAAACGATCCATTAGATACAAAAATAGCTCAAGAATTTACCGAAAATAAGGCCAAGTTTCTTGAAACTGCAAAGAAATGGACAGACGTTCATGCCAAACCAAATTCAATTACAAAAGGCAATGAGGCTGCTATTGAAATGGATATATCTGACTAGATCGAATAGTTTTGTTTGATAACTAATGAATACAAAGAAGATTTTTGAAAAATTTTCTTCAATATTCTTTACTAACTTTAAATAAAGGAATAAAAGGGATTTAATGCTTACTCATATATGAGATTCTATTACCTAAATATCTAAAAAATAAAATTTGATTTAATTTCATAATATAATAGTCAAAACTTAAAAATTTAGTCATACAAGCTATGCATCTTATTAGATTTCTGGCAGCAGCAACCGATAGAATCTCTGTCTGTGTTTCCGCAGCACGACCAAGCTTCACCACCTAAAGCTTCGCAATATCTATAAGCACCGTCGTGATAATATTTAGTAGAGGCGAACTGCTTAAGATGCTTTGCTGTTCCCTCTGATAACTTCGGTTTTTTAACAATAAATGGTGGAGGAGGTTGAGCGGCAGGAATTCCTCTCTCTTTAATCAAATTTGCGTAGTTGATTTGTCTGCGAACAAGAGCAGGAGTGCTAGCAACTGCTTCGCATTTTTTGAGAGTATTTTCTCTAGCTTTCATTGTTCTTTCTTTAAATTGCTTTGATTCTAACTTTGTATCTATAGTTGCGCGTGCATCCCATGGAAGTTCTGAGTCGTAAAAGTCTCTTCTAAAATCTGGATCATGTTCGTTTTTATTTGATACGTAAATTGCTTGAGGATTATATGGTTCATGTGGTGTAATTACCATTACATCTGAGTTCCATCTACGTTTTGGAATTCCATCTATATCTGGTTGAAGAGATAATAAAACTTCTCTTCGCGCCATCGCTGCACGAAGAGGCATATCTTCACGACTGAATGCCATTTCATCAGGACTAAAATTAATCTTTACGCCTGCTGTTCCTGGCTTAAATTTTTTATTATAACTAATAAGATCGTGTTTCTCAGTCATTTAAATACGTTACTATAAAAAGTGTCAAGAATTTTTCATAAATTTCAAAAGAGAAAATAAGCTTTTTGGATAGGTATTATTAGATAGATCAACCGACTTTCAGAAGATATTCGACTAAGTGTATGATACTATGATCCAATTTTTGATCGAAATATAATTCAATCGTCAAATCGAAGAAAAATTTGTTTAATTAGCCAGTTTACATCTCTTCTATTTAAGAAATATTGTTAACATACGTTTTACATTACTATCCTATTTGCTATATTATTTCTTCTCATACAAATTAAATTAAACACCTTTATTAACATCTGAATTTTGATTTATCATTTCAAGATTACTTAAATATAAAAATTTATCATGTACTGCATCTGTTTTTTGTATGATCTTAGCAAATTTATACGCTTCAATATCAAATTTTGATATGGATATGCATTTCATATTTGATTGATAAGCTTATTAGTTTTATAACTATTTGTCAGTTCAGAGCTTAAATTAGCTTGGTTTATATTAAATTTTGAGGATAAAGATAAAAACAAATTTTAATTATGAACAAAATTACATAAAAATCATTGACTTCTTAATATTTTGCAAAACTGATAGTCTTTGTTGGAGTTCTTCTAGCTTAGATTTTGATTCTTGGAGCTGAAATTCTGATTTCGATTTTTCTGCAACCAGACTTTCTATTTCCGAATTTAATTCATTTTTCCTATCTAGAATTATATTGAGTTGGACCATTAATTCGTTCATTCTGGATTGAATTCCTGCAGAACGAGAAGATATCAGCTTTTTCTTGGCAGAATCAAGTTCTTCTGCTAAAAGAAGTAAGTCCTGATCCATTTTCTCTATGGATTGTTGATCATTCTCCTTCTGAAAGATAATTTCTTGCTTTAAAAATTCATCTAATTCATCATATTTCTTCGTTAAAAAGAGATGCTTGAGTTTTATCTGCTCTTTCATCTGATAGATTTCTTGTTGGTCGAGAGGTCGTTCTAGTTCTATTTTCTTTTCAACAACAGTTTTCCTCATATCTGAAACCTTTTTGTTAAGATCTATAAGTACATGTACTTGTTCAACCAATGAAGCATCTTTAACGTTCTCTTTGATTTGCGAAATAATATATTCGTTATAATTCTGAATCAAAATATCGATATCTTCCTTAGATATTTCATTTTTGTTTTTAAAATCCATGATTGCAAGCGTTTTATGATAGTATTCGTTCAATAAAATGCTTAAATTCCGTAAATCTTTATTTTCCTGAAATTCAATATCAAATTTTAATTGTAATTTTTCGTTTTCTCTCTTTTGTTGCTTAACTGTATCTTTTAGTGTAGTTGAAGCATTAATTTCTTTGTCCTGAACTTTCAATAAATATGATTTTATATTTTCTGTTTTACTTTCATCTGTAACATCACTTTTGCGAATAGCATAACTTGATCTAAGTTTGCTAGTATCAAAACCAAGTCTACTTTTGGTTTCGGTATACCGATTAGAAGCGTGATTCATTTTTTTTAAACGTTCATTTTTGGATATCCATACCCCAAATCATTTTTGAAGCTAGACTATAGTCTTTAATATACTTTATTATGTTGATAGTAGCTGAAATACTGGTCATTCTCATTTTGTAATTGCTCTGGATTGAAAATTTAACATTAACTAAAATTAATCATTAGGTTTGACTTCACAATTATACAAAAACTCAACCAACTTAGATTAGTTCTATTAAGAAGTGAAGTTGACAAATAAAGATATCGAATATTTTCAATCAATTATAATTCATGTATATAATCTAAGAATATCATTTTTGAACTCAATGTTGATGAAAAGTATAAAAGATTAGATTGGATAAAAAGTGATAATATGAATTATAGATTCTAATTGATTAAAAAAGAAAGGATATGAAACAATTTATACACTAATTCTGCCAAGGAGCCGTTTGAAAGCATCTTCAATTCCTAAATTTGAAGTTGCTACGCATGGCATCACAGTATATGTTAAATGTTTTGTGCCACCTGCATCGATGAGCTTTTCTAACTCTTCTGTGTTTGCTGATCCGGGGATATCTTGTTTATTGGCAATAAATAAAATTGGGCAATTTTCTAACTCAGGTTCTGCTGCAACCTTATGTATTTCTGACTTAGCCAACTGGAATTTCTCTCTATCCGAGCAGTCAACAACAAATACTACGGCACAAGAGCCATCAAAGTAATGTCTCCATAAAGGTCTCTGTTTTTCTGCGACGCCTAAATCCCATGTTACCAAATCGAAGTCTTCCCATTTAATTGTTTGCGTATTGAAATCCTGAACTTGGAACGAACGAATTGATTGGTCGCCTTTTAGTTTGTTCAGGATAGTAGTTTTTCCAGCGCATTTCAGACCTAGCATAAGAACTCTTGGGATTGCTTCATCTTCGCCGCACGTGCAAATATTACCCATGAAATTATTGAAAAACTTTCCGCTACCAAATAATTGAATATTTCAAGTAAAAGTGTCGATAATTGTATACGTTAATTTTTATGAAATATTCAAAAAATGGATCGAAAAGATGTCACGATTACGGCATCTGGTGATCAAGTTAGAGATATTAGACTGAAAAGAAGGATATATAACGTCGAAGACGAATACCATGACGCAGAAGGATACGTTTTAAAACTCGATTTTGAAGATACTCAGCCAGTCAATATGATGTACCTTCCAGAGCAAGATAATGGACCATGGGTTGATCCAAATAGAGTTCCTCCATGGTGTAGGAAGGAAAAGGCCAGAGATAAAAGAATGTGGCGCCAACTCCACTATACTGTGAAGACTTCGAATATATATGGCGGTCCATTCTTCGAAAAAATCCCTGAGGTCAAGTCATATGTTCCAAAATCGCAACAAACTCAAGAAAAAACTGAAGAATCCAAATAGAATACCATTTTATACCATGAACTAAATTGTATGTAATTAAATATAAATACTAATTTATCAATATAAGTCAAAATTCTCAAATATACCCTCAATTTTTGACTTTTGCAACACACCCTTAATTTATGTCAATTGGCATAATAAAGTTATACTTAGAATGCTTACATGATGGAGAATCATGATATATTGCTGTGAATAGTTTTTAATGGCAATTACTGAAATTGTAAAATATAATCAATCGAAAGAGGAATGTTTTGAGTTAACATCCTATTACAAAGTATAAGAAGATGTGTTCTGTTGCAATACCATAGCGAAGACTTATTTGATAATATGCATAGGGAGATATGATGCTTGAAAGTACCTTAGCATTTTTTTATTTTTCCAAATTTTGCTATCCCCATGTAAATCAGAATTGTGTTGAAAATGATTATTTTAAAAATGTTCAAAGATAAGCAGAAACCAGTTTATAAGCATGTCCGACAAAATTCTGGGCGAATCCAAAAGATTTCTAAGGCACCTAACCCAGCACTCAAGAAATATATGGATATTATCGAAGAATTCACAAAATCGGAAAAAATTATTATTATGCTCGATTCTAGAGCTCCTCAAGCAGGAAGATATACTCAATTCGAAAAACTATTCCCAGATAAAGTCATATACGTCTTAAATAAGATTGATCTTATTCCTCGTGAAATGGCTTTAGGCTGGCTATTAAATTTGCGTTCAACAGTTCCTACATTTGCTCTTTCTTCACTTAAAACAGCAGAACCACTAATAGAATACTTAAAAGCAGGTAATGTAAAAAAGATTTGCATTACAGGCCTTAAAAACTCGGGGAAGCATACATTATTAAAGTACATGACTGATTTTGATGCGATTGTTACTCCAGATTGGACATTTTTGGAGACAACTTTTGAACATGCGATTATTGGAGCAGTAGAAGTAAATCAGAAGTCCACAACTAACTATGAGCACCTAATGATGTTCATTGATCAATGCAGTACGCAATCTCTCATGGAAGTCTTCGGATTAACTTATATAAGCGTTACAGACTCAGTTTTGCAAGTTGTAGCAAATGACGGTGATACAGTCTTGCAAGCAGGCATGAAATTGTTTTCCCAAATAAGAAATGGACTTTGGAATTTTTATTCTCCAGCTCCAACAAAAACCTACAGCCAAGAATCATTTAATTCATTACCAGACTCTCAGAAACGTTCTTTACGATACTCTACGCCTTACGATGCAATGATTAAACCAAGTCTTGCGTTTATTGAACCAAATATGCCAAATGAACTGCAACATAAGCTTTTGAAAGCTTTAGAGAACCTTGAATATGAAATGTAATATTGATTTGTATATTTTTATTATAGAGTTTCAAAATAAAATTTTTATTTGTATGAGATCTTTTCATAACTGTTATATTATTTCGTATTGTTAAAGATTTTCTGTAGCAGACATGATCTTGGCCTTATTAACAAATAATAAAACATCTTGACAATTCAGCAATGTAATATATATTCCATTCTGCGAACTTTTTTTAAATGTCATATGTCTGGTTCTATTGGTATCTTGATCACATTACCAATTAATTTTTTATTTTAGAAGGGGGAGAAAAAAATTATTTGATGCTTCACTTGGCTACTCGAAAAATGTAAACGGCAATGACGATAAATTAATTGAAATAGTTTGTCCAGTTTTACAAAAAGTGAAATGGAAAGCTTAAATTCATACGGAGTCCCAAAGGCCGAATTTATTGAGGATATTAAAGCAGCTGCACCAACACCAGAAGCTGCCGAGAAACTTTATCGTGAAAAAACAGAGCTCATGAGCAAATATCGTATGTTAGAAACACATTTTCTCGAAAAGCAGCAAAACTTTAAAAGATCTCGTCCATCTGTTGCCGAAAATCTTAATGCCATCAAGAAACTCGAAGCTATGGCTGACAAGGGAGATGTTAAAACCAACTTCCAGTTAGCTGATAGCCTCTATAGCACAGCAACTATTAATAGCGAAAGTACAGTTTGCCTTTGGCTTGGCGCAAATATTATGGTCGAATATCCATTCTCCGAAGCCAAGACTCTCTTGACAGAGAATCTTGCCGCACTTGATAAACAGATCGATGATATCAGTAAGAACCTTATTTTCTTACGCGATCAAATCATTACAACTGAAGTTACATTGTCTCGTATCGTCAACCATTTAATTCAGCTTAACAAGAAGAAATAAATTATCTTTATTGAATATATTATTTTATACTATCTTCTTTACGAAAAATTTCAAAAGATTTGACCTGGCCATATATCTCTTTTTTCAGAAATCCGGCTTTTATCTATGCCGAATAATATTACGTACGATAATTGTCTATATTTTAAAGTGAGTTCGAAATTAATTATTTTCTTTCTTTGATTTCAAATGGATTCACTCATGTAACATCTCTTAAATATCAAAAATCATTCAAAAAGTATATTTGTTTAGTTGAGATTATTCATAATCCAAAAGTAGAATCAAAATGGCTTCAAATTAAAATCGATTTAATAATTTTAACTTTTTACGAAAGATATCTGTGTGAACCTGATCCCTATTGCAAGCCAATTTGATATTAATACGAAATCGTATGGGTTTGCAAACTTTTAATCTAGGAAGAATAACATCATATGATATTATATGATAATAGCATCAATACAATTAGTCATACTTGAAATAAATATTATTCACATAGTGTTTTGCCCTCATTCATATATTTGATATTAATGCCTATTCAAAAATAGTATATGTTAATGCGCAGCTAGAAAATTATATTTATTAGATGATAACAAAATGACATCAAGCTATGTAATGAGATAATTCCTTCATTCGTGAGATTGATCATGCAATAAAACAAAGTTTATTTTTCGTTTTCTGTAATCGAAGGAAAAGTGGGAGATGAAATTAAACTTTATTTATTGATTTTATATTTTGAAAATATAAATATTTTTTTGAAAATCTTATGAGTGCGGCAAATAATTTCCTCTTCAGTACTGGAAGGGATAAAGGTGATGGAAAGAGCATGTGTGCTTGGCAATCATCAGCCAATCCTACTACTGAAGAATTACTTGCTGTTGCACTCAAAAAACCAATTTATCTTAACTTAGATCACTATCAAACCATGCTTTTTAAGGACGACAGCATCGCAATTTTGCTTCCTATCAAAGCTCGACCGATATCTATCTTCCCACAAGTTAAATTTCAAATGAATGAAACAAAACATGTAGAAAATGCACCATTTTTAGCAATATTACAAAAAGGATCTCCATGGATATGCAACATAACACTCACATTTCAAGATGTCAATCATTTCTTCCCTGTTTTTGATGTTCATTTCACTTTATCTGACCCATATCCTGATAATATACACGATGCGATATACGGTGCTTTACAAGGCATCACGTGGGAATCCAAAATGCGTGAGTGCGCCCAATCAATTGGTTTGCCTTTGAATAGAATGGTTTTCTTCTGGAAAAATGGCAAGTCAAATGATGTCCTTTTCCCAGGAATGAAACCTCTAGATTATGTTAAAGCTAATTTCAACTCAGATTTTACATTATATAAGCCAGCTGGAGATTTATTTTATAGAATCATCAAAGACGATCAGAGTTTCAGTGGAGACTATACATTTCTTACCAAAACTCACAAGCTCAATATTAAATCCATGGATACTTTCTTCGATTCCATTCTACAAATCACAGAAAAGTTAATCGGTGCAAATTATGACGATTCGATCTCAATCGAACAAGCAAAAAGCACGTTATCGAAACTATCCATAGACACGCTACTCGCCATCGTCTCAAGAATGACAAATCCCAGATTTGATCTTACGGAATGGAGCGAATACGTAGCTTTGTTCAAAGCCGTATCGAAAAATCCAGAGCATACGGACAGCCTGAAAGATTTCTCTCAGTCAAGTCTTGCTTTAATCAACTTCATTTCGCAAACCAAAAATATTTTCTCTCGTCTTGTCCAATTCTACACCAAAATACACTTAGAATTACGTAGATTACCCAAAGACCCCAATAACAACCTTTTCGGCCGTGTTGTTTACTCATGTTTTGTAAATGTTGCAGATTCTCCATATACATTGTTAATTACCACCGGATTCCTTGAAATCATGAACTTCAGTCCCTCGAATACCACAACCCATGAGATATTACCCAATTCCTACTCCTTCAAATGCGTAAATTCTTCTCCCCTCCTTTTCTGTGCCTCCCTGACCTTGTTACAAGTCTGTCCGTTGACCAATACATCCTGTGTTGTCATTAACGATGACGGATCCTTCGTTATCAACTTCCCAAACAACACCGCATTGACAGATTTCGTTTTAATCTTCCACGTTAGGCAGTTTGCGATGAACGAGAAGTACATCAGTCCTCCTCTTCCTTTCTACGGCGCTTCCACACTTTCCATCAACTTTTCTTCCGCAGATTTGACAACTCTCATCAATTTCGACATCAAACTCTTGGATAAGAACTGGTCCCTGCAGATGAAACTCAACGACTTCGTGAACAAGATCACACAGAAGTGCCAGAAAGCAAAAGCCCTTGCAATTCCGTCACTTTTACGATCAACAGTTCCAAACCACATTCAATCTAGCGCAAACCAAGAAATTCTCGGCATCAACGTAACAACAGACACGATCTTCAAAGAGCTGAGACGCACCAACACCGATGCAGAGCGTACACTGCGATTCATCACAGCCTTGATCATGGACGGCATCAATTCTCAGTCTCATGAAATCACTTACGAGACACTGAACATTTTGGGAATTGCCAGTTTGACACAGGCGATTACATTGCGTTCTCCACAGATGTTGAGACTGTGCGCAACTGTTTTCCCTGCACAGTTCAGCGAGCACATAATGCTTGATGACAACATCGCCAATTTCGCTGCAACGTACTTGACTGATCTGAGAGTAATGAGGGAACTGATGAAGCATGTCTCGATTACTGACAGATCTTCTGCTGCAGCAAACGGAGCTTTGAGGAATCCTGGTGGTTCATTGCAAGTTTTGACTGATTCTGGAGCGATTTTGGACGCAATTTATCCTGATGATGTCAATCCATTGATACAAGCTATTGATGGCGGAATGAATGAGAAGATAATTGAGTTGCTGAGGAAAGGAGCTCCAGCAAATTCATCAAGGACAGAACTTGCTTCTGCTTTGAGATTCGCAATTGCAAAGGATAATTTGGATGCTGTCAAATTGATGGCTCCTTTTCTTGGTGACGCAATCAATGTCGCAACACTGAATGGAGAATTTCCTATTCACACGTGCATCATCTGCGAAAGATGCGCTATCTTGGAAGCACTGATTTCTCTCTGTCCGAAACTCAACCCGAATATTTCCTCAAAGAATTTCGCTCTTCCAATTCATTACATCCTTCAAAAAGGAGAATGTTTGAAAATTTTGAGAGCGCTCATGCATCATCCCGCGATTGACTTGAACGCGTACAACAAGGACGGAAGGACTCCTCTCTCTATAACAATAGATACAGGAAGATTCGTCACGTTGAGAGTTCTTCTTGGAGATAAAAGATGCGATCCTAATTATCCTGATTTCGACGGAACTCTTCCGATCCACAAAGCTGCCGCCGGAGGAAACAAGTTCATTCTGGACACATTGATTGAGTACGGAGCGAATGTGAATGCTCCTGCACCTGATGGAACAACTGCACTCTACATTGCAGTGAAAGCAAGGAATGATGAAATGATTGAATCGCTTATGAATGCAGGAGCAAATCCATCTCTTTGGATGGTAAATGGAAAAAGCATTGACGACATTTCTACTCCGGAAATAAGGAAAATGTTGTTCCCAGAAGGAAAATCACATAATATTAACTATATGGATTATGAAGAAGAGTTCAGATATCCAACTTTGATGTTCAAGGATGAATAATTGTTTATGTATTATATTTCTTTGATATTTTTTATTATTTTTTTGTTTATGTATTATTTATTCGGTTTTATTATTTTTATATTTATCCTTCTTTTTATCTTATTAAAACAAAACTTTATTATGACCATTTTTTAAGGAATCTAAATGGATAGAACGACATGAGTCTTCGTTTGTTATTTGCGATATAATACTATATTTAAATATGAAAAAAATGGATGATGTAAAAAAAAGTAGTAAAAAATGATTATTTAAAAATAAACTCGTGTGATCCAACATCATTTTTTGGCTAGAAGGGAAATACTCTATCATTAAATGAACAATATGAAAATTGATAATATTATGACCATAGGTCATTGTTCAATTTTTATTTTTTGATCTTGAATAAGTAATGCAGTCAAAATAATGTAAAAAATTTATCTTTAATTCCAGAATTACTATCATAGCAAATTTTTAGCTATTTGATTATACATTATATATACTCCGTAAATGATTGATTCTACTTTTTGATTGTAAAGTGACTTCTGACTTTACAAAATTTATTCAGAACATGAATCTGAATTTCGAACATATTGGTGCACATATCGATGAATATTGTTATAGACCGAAAATAGATTTTTTCGGTTTTCTCTTCAAATAATTGAAAGAATGATACTATTATAGGTTTATTATATTATATAGCATATAATCATGCTATAGCCGAAAATTATAAGTTTTGAGAAGATTGAATATAACACAAATAAATTTAATGTAATTAAATTGCTTGTTGTTTTTAATATATTTAATGAGAAATCCAATATTGCAAAATTCAATTGAATGATTGAAAAACAGAAAAAGTCATTCTTTTCAATTTCGAATATGTTTCATTATATTATAATTATATGGCAAAAGATATTTAAACTTGATTTTTGAAGGAAAATTCACAAAATTAATATATTCAAAAATTTATTCAAAATAAACTAGTTATTTGAGTTTAATACTAATATCTATTCAAACTACAAATTTGTAATTTAAAATATTTTGTGAGATCAATTGAATTAATTCAAGGTTCTTTCAATTAATATTAATGACCAATTACGCATTTTCGAACATTCTAAACGAAATATATAAAAATGCGAGACGAATGTTAAATTTGCTAGACATAAAGAATTGTTTACCGAGTTTTAGCTCTTATCTCTAACAAAAAATTAAATTTTAAAAAAATGACCGAATACGTTTCACAGCGAGAAAAAAAAAAAGGCAAGATAGAATTTTCTAGACATAAAAAGTTGTTTACCGAGTTTTAGCTCTTATCTCTAACAAAAAAATTAATTTTTAAAAAAATGACCGAATACGTTTCACAGCGAGAAAAAAATAAAAGGCAAGATAGAATTTTCTAGACATAAAGAATTGTCTACCAAGTGTCAGCTGTTACTTCTTCTCAATACTGATATAAAAAAATCTTTATTATTTATTTAACCTTTATTGTTTCATTAAACTTCATTTATTTTATATTATAGTTTTATTCTTTTAGCTACTTGTAAAATAATCTAATTTTATATCATCATTTTACCGGATTATTCTTCAGTACATCGATTGTGTATCTAAAATAATATCATTATCCTTATTCTGTTTTTTCCAAAATTCTTTTAAATATCTTTTTTGGTTAGATTACTTTATACTTTTTACTTTTATTTTTTAATTTCAAAAAAAAATTTGGTGATTGTTCTATTCTGTTACAATGTGCATTATCATATTCTAATGAAATTCATTACATACATTTAAAAAACTTGTTAAAAATGAAATTAAAAAATTATGTTTATTATTACCTGTGAATGTCAACAGCGGTCATGCCTGTATCTGTATCCCATATTTGCCACAACCTTTCTGTATCTGCATTGTATATTTCGGTTTCAGCTAATACATTTGATTTGGCGTGTAATTTGTTCCAGTTAATGGATTAATTGGGAGATCTTCATGCGGTGTTATTATTTGTACTCCCAAAAAAGGCAGGAATAGCCTGAATGCTTTGGCAGCGCTCCAATGTCCCAGAATCTCTCAATCTTCCCATTTTGGTAGGGAGAATGAGAGTCTGTATGCCGCCATTGGACGCCCCAAAGATCAAGTAGATCTTGAAAGGCGCCCCTATTTTCTGAACCGTTGTCGGTCCAGAAACAATAAGGGGCGCCAAATTCAATGAAGGCGGAAGCCGCAACGTTCGCTGTCGTCGCTGCCAGCATATCTGGTATTTGTATACACGCTAGACTTTGCGGCTAAAATCGTCGATTATGCCATAAATATACTGGCCACGAACACCCCTAAAATAATGAACATCTGCGTGCCAGATAAATTAAGGGAAAGCGCCTAATATCTTACTGCTGTTTCTGGCCCGGCATGCTCTAATCGCGTCTTGGTGAAATGATTTTCTTTGAAGTATCTGCGTACTTCTCTATAAGATACATCAATTTGTTGTAATTTCAAACGTTTCCATTGTTTTGTTTGACCACAGGGAAAGGCCCAGTGGTCATGTATCACAGCAAGAGCTTTGATTTGGTCGGAGGATTGACCCTACGACCTTTCTTGCCTTTAGGCAATGGGATATTCTGTAAGCTAAATTGATTTTGTAAAAAAGATTTTGAAACAGCTAAATATTTTAAATCATTTGATTGAAGGTTGGGCGATGGGAACATGGGTGCAAGCTTTCCCATGTCATTTTACCTTCTTCAATCTGATTGGAAATACCAATTAGGTAAATTCGATCGACATACCCTTTGTAAGGATTCATTCTAATGAAGTACGTTAACAATCAAAATATTCTATAAGTGTCTAGTATGGAATTCAAAAGAAATAAAGAAAATGGTAACGTAAATAAACGTATTATGAAATAATTTATAATTAAAATGAAAAAAAGAAAAAATAATAAGTAAAGTGACTGGAAATGAAAATGAAAATCAGTGTACAGTTTTATTTTTTTCTCGCTGTAAACGTATTCGGTCATTTTTTAAAAATTAATTTTTTGTTAGAGATAAGAGCTAAAACTCGGTAAACAACTTCTTTATGTCTAGAAAATTCTATCTTGCCTTTTATTTTTTTCTCGCTGTGAAACGTATTCGGTCATTTTTTTAAAAATTAATTTTTTGTTAGAGATAAGAGCTAAAACTCGGTAAACAACTTCTTTATGTCTAGAAAATTCTATCTTGCCTTTTATTTTTTCTCGCTGTGAAACGTATTCGGTCATTTTTTTAAAAATTAATTTTTTGTTAGAGATAAGAGCTAAAACTCGGTAAACAACTTCTTTATGTCTAGCAAATTTAACATTCGTCTCGCATTTTTATATATTTCGTTTAGAATGTTCGAAAATGCGTAATATGGTCATTAATATTAATTGAAAAGAACCTTGAATTAATTCAATCTGATCTCACAAAATATTTTAAATTACAAACTTTGTAGTTTGAATAGATAATTAGTATTAAACTCAAATAACTAGTTTATTTTGAATAAAAATTCTTTGAAATATTCAATTTTGTGAATTTTCCTTCAAAAATCAAGTTTAAATATCTTATTTGCCATATAATTATAAATATAATGAAACATATTCGAAATTGAAAAGAATGACTTTTTCTGTTCTTTCAATCATTCAATTTGAATTTTGCAATATTGGATTTCTCATTAAATACATATTAAAAACAACAAGCAATTTAACTTACATTCAAATTTATTTGTGTTATATTCAATCTTCTCAAAACTTATAATTTTCGGCTATAGCATGATTATATGCTATATAATATAATAAACCTATAATAGTATCATTCTTTCAATTATTTGAAGAGAAAACCGAAAAAATCTATTTTCGGTCTATAACACATATCGATGAATATATTAAAAACGAAAATCTTTTTGATTCATTTGAGATAGATGATATCAAAAAGATCATGAAATATACACATTTGACAACAGATCAGTACAATGCACTTCTCAAACAATCTCATTCAACTATTGACTCAATAAAATTATACACTTGTACACGAAAAGCAAATGTTACTATCCAAAACTTCGAAGAGGCCATTTCAATTCTGAAATCTGTCAAAGAATACATGAAATTCAAGATATTTGATGGCATTATTGATATATTAGATCAAAATGATAATGAAATAAAGGAATTAAAAGAAAAAATTTAAAAACTTCAAGACGAATTAAATTCATTTTAGATCCAAACACAAGACCTCAATGATTCGAATGAGATATTAACCAAAATCTCTGAGATTAAGAAATCTAATAACTTTGAAAGCGCTTACAAATTTCTTGATGGACTTTCTGCCGAAAGAAATCAGGAAATGATTTTAAATGCATGTAATGAAGGACTTTGGAAAATAACAACAAAAGATAATAAAAATGTACTTCATGTTGCAAGCGAAAAAGGAAATCTTCGACTTATCAAATCTCTCATCGAATGTGATTGCGATAAAGATACAAAGGATAGTTCTGGACAAACTCCACTCATGTTTGCATCAGTAAATGGTCATCTTGAAGTTGTTAAATATCTTATCTCAGTTGGAGCTAATAAAGAAGCAAAGAATAATAAAGGATCTACTCCACTCATTTATGCATCAACGGGTGGTCATCTTGAAGTTGTTGAATATCTTATCTCTGTTGGTGCTGATAAAGAAGCAAAGAATAATGATGGATCTACTCCACTCATTTATGCATCAAGAGAAGGTCATATTGAAGTTGTTAAATATCTTATCTCAATTAGAGCGAATAAAGAAACACAGAATTATACAGGATCTACTCCACTCATTTCTGCATCAGAAAGAGGTCATCTTGAAGTTGTTCAATACCTTATCTCAGATGGATGTAATAAAGAAGCAAAGAATAATGATGGGTGGACTCCACTCATTTTTGCCTCAGAAAGAGGTCATCTTGAAGTTGTTAAATACCTTATCTCAGTTGGATGTAATAAAGATGCAAAGACTAAAAAAAGGATCTACTCCACTCATTTTTGCATCACATAATGGACATCTTGAAGTTGTTAAATATCTTCTCTCAGTCGGAGCTAATAAAAAAGCAAAGAATAATGTTGGAACTACTCCACTCAGTTGTGCATCAGAAAATGTAAGAGATTTTCTAAAATCTATTGGAGCAAAGTAAACTAATCAGATAATTATTAACAAATGCTACAGCACAAACTATAAATAAGCACAGTTGATATAATAAAAATCATTTTTTGATTTTAAAACATTTACTTGCAAAATATCTATATTTATCTTTAAATCATCGTATATGAATAGAAAAAAAAACTTTTTATTGGAATCTCAAATTATTACCCAATTTGTTATTACAGGAGAAGAGTAGTACTGCAACACAGTCGTTAACAGATCTTCTAATATATATATATAACGATCTTATCTCTGTTCTATCTATTTAACATAAATCACTTTAATATTATTGCTTTGAGATCATCCAAAGAAAAAGCCGAATTTCTTATTTCTCACAGTGCAAATGTCAATGAAAAAATAAATATGGAAAACTGCACTCCATATTGCAGCAGAAAATAATAATAAAGAAACTGCTGATCTTTTTATTTCATATTAAATTTCAATGAAAAAGATGAAGATGGGGAAACCGCGCTTCATAAATCATAACAATAAAATAGTAAAGAAACTGTTGAACTTCTTATTTCGCACGGTGCAAATAAAAATATTCCAACAAAAGTACTTACGCCCATTTGACTCTAATTGAAAAATAACCCATGTAACTCTTTAAAAAAAAATAACATAAGTAAATAAACAGATCATTTAAAATACTAAACAAACAAAATGTGTAATAAATTACTCAATTTCAGATAACTCGTTTGAAGCAGATTCGAAAACATCAATAACAGAGTCGATTTGAGGTCGATTTTCTGGGTTTTCATCTAAGCATTCCTTGATAATAGACACAACTTGTTCAGGAACATCTTCCATTTGAGGGAAATTTTCTTTGATTTCTGCTAATTTCGTTTCATCTGAGCCTGTGAGAGCAAGGACGCTGATTAGAGCAAAGCTGTAGACATCGCAACTTGTTGCAATATTTTCTGGGAATTCTGGTGCTGCAAATGAATCTTTTTCTTGTATTTGAGAAATTTTCGATGGATTCGTAATCAAATAAGCTCTTCCGAAGTCACAGAGCTTAGGAATTCCATCGATACTCATAAGAATATTTGATGGCTTGATGTTGCAGTGAACAATGTTCTTATGATGAATATATGAAATTCCTGAAGCGGCATCTGCGAGTAAATCGAGTATATTTGTCATATCTTGGTCCTTGCATGCCTTGAGAATGTTATCGCGTGAACATAACTCCGTTTGAATGTAAAATAAAAATTCAATTTTCATATTTTGCAGAGGTTTGCTATCTTGTGGATCTAAGTACTCGGAAACCTTACCATCAACAGCAAACTCTATCCATGAGTTGTTGTATTTAGCGATATTAGGGTGAACAAGCTCTTGAAGAATTGATGCTTCTCTCATTACGTCTTGCGGATCAACTGTGTCCATTTCGAACGATGTACGCTTAATACAATAGATAAGGCGATCAATATGGTTAACTGCGGCAAGAACAACTGTGTTTTTTGATTCAAAAATTTTAACAACAACTGTGAATTCTGTTTCAAATCTTGAATATTTATCTTCATTGACAATTTCTGTTGGTTGTAAATCAACTCCAAGACTCTTTGTGTACTGGCGTTGCATGATTTCTTCAACAATACTCTGAAAAACTTCTTTTTGGCTTTCTGGCTTGAAAAGAGTGCAAAAATGTTTGAGCTCACTAAGAGCCTTTTCGACTCTTTCATTGTTAGAAAAAAGATCGACGTGGCCCACGCGAGGAATCATAAAAATTAAATTTATAAATGTCCGATTAAAATTTTTTATATCTTATAATTGTTTTTAGATGATATTATTCTAATAAACAAAAATTTTATAAAAAATTCATATGTGAACATACCAATATGAAGAATTCAATAGATTTGGAAAAATGAAGTCGTTGAGGCCATTTCAAACAAAGATTTATAAAGTGTAACAATATGAAAGAATAGTATATGCATCATATTTTCGATTTGAAGATTTTTGGAATTTTCAATAAGATACAAAAGTACAAGAGTGACACGAACAAATTGGTGTGATTTACTCGCAACACCATTAAACGAGCATACGCAGGCTGTCTGTAAGGAGGATGCCGTATGTTTTTCCGGCATCATTCGTGCAGCATTCAAACGCAGGTTGACGAGGGTGCGCAGGATACATACATTTTCGACTAGCATCGCTCATTGACTAGTGAGATTCTCGGGCATGTCTACAGATCTTCAGAATAAGGCTTGGAGTACTGCAATTTCTTTTTAATTATTATTTTTTGGTGCAATATGGAGAGATGTTTTTCCAAAATTATCTTTTTCATTGATATGTGCACCATATAAAGCATTATAAGCAGATGTCAAGGAAGTATGTTTTCAAGCTATAAACTATTTTTGAAATTGAGAGAATATTGATTTTTTAGCCACATCCTCTCAATATTGAGATGAGATGAATACCGAACCTTATCTAGTCAATAAATATTTGAATCCGCATCAAAATTGAGAAGTTATGAACATGCAGGCAATATTCTCTTGTTTTTCATAGAGTGGTGAAGTAGCAAAAAGTGAAGTACGATAATTTTGAAGAAAAAAACAAAGCAACTTCCTTGAGGATATTGAAAAAAAAATTCAATTCATTTTATGTCCGATTTAATCTTCTCTTGTTCGACTAACAACCCTAAATTCCTTGCCCAAGCACTTATGGCTGTTGCCTGGAAAGACCAAGAAGACCAATTATGTTCAGCAAGTGTTTCAAACGATGGAATTTTGATATTAACTGAAGATTCTACAACAATACAAGCAAGTGTCCTTCTTAGAGCTGGATTATTCCAGAATTATACACTTGTCAGGGAAGAAAACTTCGAATTTAGAATCAACTTAACAAAATTTGTTAAATGTATAAAACTATTCTCAGAAACTGCTACAGAACTCGAAATAAGGTCAAAGAACGATGCCGAAATACAAGTTGAAATCACAGATGGCCTTTCAACAACAAATTGTACGATTAGAACTCTTTACTACCCTACAGCACAAGTCAATAACATGACTCTGTCCAAAGCCTTCTCAGCGCCCGACTCTGTTGAAGTTGCTTCGTTTATGATTCGATCATCAATTGTAAAAGAGATGTTTGTGCTTCCTGATGCAACGACAAAGAATACTGTTCCAATTAAGATGGTCATAGATGCTGTTGCCAGGCTTTTCGAGGTCAAAATGGAAGGAGGCTTCGGAACAGTCAGATCTACAATGGATTTCGGACTTCTCATGGCCCAAAGACCGAAATTCGACCTCTGTGAACCATTCGAAGCATGTTACCCTATATCCTCGCTTGTTCCTGTCTTGAAAGCAATGGCTTTGTCATCTGAAACGAGTTTCAGGTTTAAAGGCAACGGAATGCTCTCAATTCAACAGGCTATATCTAACCAGGCTGCTGGATCCGTCGAAACTGTCGTCGAATTCATATTGCAGCCTCTTGAAGATAATACTCTTTAGAATTACTGTTTGTTTTTTGTTGTAAAAAATAATTATTTATTTCATTTTGTTTTGCATTTTTCTTTATAATCTCACATATATCAATTGCACAATAAGAAGTTAAACTATTGCATTCTGCTGCATAATGAAGGGGTGTTTTAATTCCTCTATCTTTAATTAACAATTTGTGAGAGATGAAGTTGAACTAAAATCCTCAATGTTATTTACAGTGTTAATTCAACTATCTCAGTTTATTTCTTTGATATCTTTATTATATGCAATAGGAAGCTCAGCTATTTCATTGTTACATTATTAAAGAGTGATAGTTCAATTACATCTCAATCTAATGCTTCATCTTGAAAATATTTGATTTAGTTGATGAATAATTTTCTCTTCCAATAATATCATAGATGCAAAGAATGAATACACAAGATTTGAATGATGAAGTAGAAATCATCAATTTTTATTATATAGAAAAGTAAATTTTTTTATTGATTGATATAAATTGTTTAAGTTCGTAAATTTTTTTGAATTCTCTAATTATTATTTTTATCTTCTAAATTTAGTGGTGGAGTTCAACAAGAGGAACTGCTACAGCATACTTCTTTTCCTCTGGTACAGAGATGTTATCCTGTTCCTTCATGACGAGGCCAAGGATAACCTTTCCTTCCTCAAGCTTTGCGTCTTCAGAATCGACGAATGAGATGTTTTCGGAGTAAAGCTTAGCATAAGCAGCATTTGACTGTTCCTCGATCTTCTTTTCACGAGCGTCGAGGATTTCTGTAAGCTTCTGTTCGAGTTCAGCCTCAGCGACAACTGTTTCGCCGCTCTCTGTGATGACTTTGACTCCATTGTCAGCCTTGACGAGAGCGAAGACGAGGCCCTGCTCTAACTGGCGGTTGAATCTCTCCTGTGTGAAGTCCTTGTTGATAAGGTCGACGCGGACTGTCTTGAGATCAACTGGGAAGTTGTATGCAACACCGTGAGCGCGCATGAGAGCCTTTGGAAGGACAATTCTGTCGGCTGTAGAGTGGGCAACAACGGAAGCGGCGAATGCACGAGAGCCGATGTTGATGTTGAAGATATGTGGGAATTGGAATTTTCCGTCTGGGCCGAGGACCTTGAAATCGAGGGCTTCGGAGAGGGATTGGTAGTAGAGGCGGACTGTAGCGATCTCGAGAACTTGGCCGTTCGGGAAGATGGCGAAAACAACAATAGAATGGTGGCGGCGAACGGAAAATGTTGTGAGCTTGCAGTCCTCGCGGAGGATCTTGTAGAGGATGTCAAGATCGCGCTTGACTTCGGCTAAGTAGTCTTGTTCTGAGAAGACAATGCCAACAACATCCTTGGCCGGTTGCTCAATGTCTGTAATGAGGGCGTATTTGTTTGTGGCAGTGAGGTTGTTGTAACGGAAGCCTCCAGCAATGCGGAGAATTGGGAGGTTACGATATGAACGAGCATTATTCATTTCGATCTGTGGGAGGATAAGATCTGGGCGGTTAGCCATGAAGTATGGATCATCAAGCTTGTGGAGACCTGTGTGTGTGATCTTGAAAACGTTTTCAACAACATTACCCTGGAGTTCTTGTGGAACCTTAGAGTAAATTGTATTTGTGGCAACAGATGGAACCATTTCCTCATCATAGCCGATTTCTTTAAGTTGATTGGCATAATTGTCAATGATTGCGTGGATACCATACCAGCCATTTGGAAGTTGGACGCAGAGACCATCAACTGGATATGCCTCATCAACGAGACCTTTTTGAACGAGATTCTTGTAGACTTCAGTGTAAGCACTCATGCTATTTGACTGACCTTTCTTCAGATTTTTAAATTCTTATCGTAAATCGCCTATCGTTAAATGGCCGAATTTTCTCAGAAAAATAATCGGCCATAATTGGACTTACACCAAAAAAGGGGGAGATACCTGTATTATATATAAATATTTCATATCAATATAAAATTGGGCTTTTCTATATGGAAAACAAAGAGTTTATTTAATTTTATGTGTTTTGCTATGAATAAAATAATATTTTTTTGTAAAATAACAATAATTTAGTCTATATAGTATACAAACAAAAAAACTTGACAAAATTTAATGGTAAGAGGTCGCTATGTTAAATGTTATAAGTTATTTTCTGTGATAATTTTGAGATTGTTAACAGCTTTTTTGGCCATTTGATAGTCATAATAAATTAAGCCATTCAGACAATCAAGTGTTTGAATGATTTCTTTTTTCTTTGAAGGTTCCATTTTTGTATTTAATTCTAAGGATTTTAATATATATTGTCGTTGTAAAAGATGATATTTGTGACGCATTTGTTGAAGTTGTATATTGGCAATTTCATTTCCGTAAGTAATAGTATAATAACGAAAATTTCTTCCATCTAATTGATGGGAAATAACATTTTTGGTCATTTCCATTTCAGTATCGAATTTTGATAAAAGTAGATCGGCTAAAGCTCCATCGCATTTGTTTGGAACACTCATTATAAAAAATATTGTCACTTTTTCGCTTATTTTATAAACTTATCACTACTGTTATAACTCCATTCTTAAGAATAGCATCCAATTATACTACTTATAATATGTTAATATATAAGTAAATGCATCTCATTGTACATATCAAAACATTTAAGTCTCATTTCTAAGTCAATAATGTTTGTACATCAGGTATCTTGTTTTGATGAACTAGAATAAAAAAATATGAATGAATGTAATATAGCTATGATCTTCTCATCAATTTACATGTGTATTGTTTAAATTGATATTTGAAAACTTATGTTTATTGAAACAAATATAACATAATTGTTTATCTTACAAAAAAACATGTATTTATAAATCCGAAGGAGTGTTGAATCTATATTTTGTTTGGTCATTGATATGGTCGAAATCGGCTAAATCAGCCAATTCATCTGCAACTTTAGGCAATTTCTTATTAATAATTTTATTAAACTCTTCGTTTTGATCAATTTCTAATATTTTATCAAAATCATGCTGATTAAATTTAAGTCTTGGGACAATATCCTGTTTATCATCATCTAGAACTTCAGTAACTACGGCATAGCATTTAGATAGTAAGTTATTTCTAAGTTCTGGAGTAATAGGGATATTTTCACTTGCAAAATGCAGTAATGAGTATTCGTAAAGTTCATATATTCTGAATGGAGTGCCATTGGTATGATTTCTAAATTCTTTGAACGGTTTTTCAAAATCAATTTGGTCTGTTTTGTTTTTGTTTTCAATTCTCCTTGTAATTTTGATAGCTGGTGATTTTATATACCTGAAATTTCCCTCTGGATGCCTGTATGGCTTAATATCGTAAGTTCCTGTTTGATTATTTTTCCAAATTATTGGAGGATGAAGACATAATTTGGTTCCAATCATATAGAATAGTGAGGAATTTTCTATGACATGTGCTAAATCTGGAATTAACTTAATACAAGGAACTGAATCAAATAAAATCGTAAAACTCGTTGAAGTGAAGAGTTTAATAAGTTTTTTGATCTCTATTTCATGTATCCCAGCGTATGCGAAAAGATAAATAAGTATAAACTCTTCTGGAGGCATTTCTGAAAGAATTAACCAACTCGTGCTATCTACGTTAAATTCACCCTCAGGAATTTCAGATATCTTGAATGTATGGAATAATGAATAAAATGTTTCATTTTTTATTAAATTCGTCCAATCATCATCTGATAAATTGCGATATAATGCTCGATGTAATCGTATTGTCTGTAAATCATCAATAGTATACTCTGTTTTTATAGAAACAACTCCGTTGTTGATTTCAAATGTTTCTGAATCGACGTATTTTAGTTGTTCAATAAATTCTTGATCAATTTTGACGTATTTTGATAATATTTTGTTTTCTAAATCTATAAATTCGCTATCCTTCTTCGAAAAATAAAGAGGAAATATACCATTATCCTGTGGATATTTATTGATTTTTGTATGAAGTCTAGATAACTCCATCTTTCCTTCGTAATATAATATATATGAATAGGCAAGCTCATCAAATGGTATTTTCGTTGAGAGTCTATCTATAACAAATTTGACATCAGATTCAGACATCTCACTCGAAATAAATGATCAAAATATTATAGAAAATGGATAAATTTAGCCAAACAAATAATGTGTGTCATTGTTCAATTGCCTATCTAGAATTCCTCTTCATAAAGATAAAATTATTACATTCAATTCAATGGGCAACAGTAATGTTTTTGCATGTGAAGCATTGTAAAATACATTATTATGTAGAATGGTTTATAATAAAGCATATGATACTTAAATCAGTTGATATTTTCAATGCAAATATATAATTAAGACCTTATTAAACAAAAAATACGCTTTCCAAATATACAAACAAGTTTATTTTCTCTCTATTACACGACATCTCTTATACAAATCTTTTGTTAAATCAGCAAGTCTATTATATTGATGGACATACGAGGGGACGGTGTTCATTAGTGAAATTATTTGTCCATGCTCGTTAAATCTTATTTTGTGCTCAAGAGCGCACCATTGAACTGTAAAGAAGCCATTATCGCATCCTGTGAAGCTGTATTTGATGCCAGCCTTCGTAACATTTCCCATCCATACTAGAGTATTCAAAATTGGCTGATCCATGGAAGGATTCCAGCATCTGCTCCATTCTGGCGAATCTATCATCAAATTGAGCAGTTTTAAGTACATGTCTGCTCTACCTGCAATAGATCCTGAACAAATGATGAATTGGTGCCTCATTTGTCCTAAAATTGGTTCTTTATAACATTTTGATAGCCAATTTGTATTCCAACCGCAGGAACGAATAAAATGTGGTTCAACTACAAATGTTAATCTGTCAGAATTGATATGGGAATGAAATGGATCGCCTTGAAAATAAACATCAAAAGTATCAGTATGAAATATGCGATCAACTTTATTTATATTGTTTTTCAACCATTTTTGTTCATATTCATATCTTATCATATGAGGTACATCTCCACGATTTGGTTTTGGATCTTTTTCTTGAATAACTTCAACTTGAAGACTATGAAACATCGATTGCTGATAGCGAGTTATTTGGAAATTTGTAGGCGTGAATAAAATAATTCTGCAATTTGATCCGGTCGATCTAAGAGATTTAATTGCCAGCTCAAGTCCTTGACTGAATTTGGATCCGTAGAAGAAAACAACATCTCTTTTTGATGAAGTAATTGAATTTGTTGAACTATTAAGATTGCAGAAAAAATGAGAGTCTTTTGCAGTAACAGGTCTAGGTAATGGTTGTTCGAACTTTATTAGAAATGGAATAGTTGCGCAGATTACGTAAATAATATAATGAAATTTAGTAAAAAGCAATCTCTTCATGAATTCAAAAAAATGATTTCCATAACAGAATATCGCTAATAACATTATACTAAGCAATAAGAGTTTGTTTAATAGTGATTATAGTGTCTTGAATGACAATTTAAAAAAAATGGAAAATATATCTTTTGTACTTATGCGAGATCTCAATCAAATGATTTAAATTCTTAATGTAATATATATTGTGATATCTCAGCCTTCAAATTCCAGAATAACAAGTTAATTTTAAAAATTTCAATGATTTTCAACATGAATATTCAAACAGTTTATTATAATATAAATATATCTAATGCATTCTTACAGGTTTCTTAATATGTTGTGTTATATCGATTCCATCAAGGTCTAATTGTCTTCCCTGGCTTATAGATCTTATCTCCATCATCTTTGAGAAAGTTCTTGGTGTTGCCAAAGTTATTTCAGGTTCCATTTCTTCTATTTCTGATTTTGGACGAGCTTTTGATTTTTGGTAGATTTGATCATAAGAAATCTTTCGTTTTCTTGTGTGTCTAGGAGGATCTGTAGAATTGAGGCGGATTTGCGTTGAAATCGCTGCAACAGAAGAATTTTTTTGAGATTCAAAGAATTGAATCTGCAATTCTGTCCTTTTGTTGAAATTATCGATTTCTGCTTGTTGTTTGCGCAACAAATTTTGATAATCTACATTCATTTTTGCGATAGCTCGATTATTTGCATTTTTAGTTTCAATTTTTTCTAAATCAACTGCTCTCTGGCGTACAATTTCGGCCCCTTGGTAATCTCCGAGAATTACTTGTTTCTTTTCTATATTACGAAGATTTAGTAGTTGAGGAGACGGTTTTGCGAATTCTAGCATTGTTTTTGGGTCCTTCCAATGATTACTGAACTCTTGAAGTTGCTCTTCATGAGATTCTTTAATTTTTTGAAGTTCTTTCATTCGTTTATTTTTATAATTTTCTATTTCTGTGTTATATTGTTGCGTATTTGATGATATTTTTGTTTGGAGCGCACTTCTTGCTGTTGAAATTCTCCTTGATGTCGTTCGCATTTTCTCCATTTCGCGTTCAACGAAATAAGCTTGCTGCATATCTTTTGAAATTTGTTGGTATTTGGCAGCATCTTTGTACATACGACTCGCTGCTGCATCTATCCTGAGTTTATCTAGATATTGGAATACTGCAGCCTTTTGTGAAGGCGGTGGAAGCTCTTTGCTTTTCACAAAGTTATCTATATACACTTGAACGCTCGCCCCCATCCCTGATGGTTGTCTTTGCGGTATAGAATCAATTGGAATTGGAGGTACAGAATTCATTTATATTATGAAGGGGGATTAAAATTTTTCTCCCCCTAATTAAAAAGAAAAAATCCGTGAAATCAACGAAAAATATACATTGTATCATAATAACACTTCGATATAATGAAACAATGTATAGACTCGATTACAAATTAATTAGAATAATCATCAGAGTAGCAAATAATTTCCCAATTAAATTTTCAATGTGGTTAAGAATAAATTTATATACCTGAAATTTTCTTTGTGCCTAATCTATGCAAACTATAGTTGAATTATCTATCGGAATCCAAAAAATTAAAAATATGTATACAAATTTGATTTTTTTACTTGGTAAATTTGTGTGACTGTTTGTTTTTACTAATAATGAAGATTTAAAGCTTGCAGTTTTGATATATACATGAGGAAGGTTGTCATCATTTTTTATTCCTTGAATTTGATTTCAACTTCGAAGTCATCGCGGAAAGGATCATCATTTTTATTCACTGGAAGTTGTGCCCACTGTGGCATTGGTTCTTGAGCTGCTTTAGAATCATCATCACCCTTCTTCGATTTCTTTTCTTTCTTGGAGTCCTTATCCTTATGATCATTTTCCTTACGTTCTTTGTCACTGCGATCGTGATGAAGATGCTTGCTTTTCTCTTTCGAGCTCATTTAAAATTATGAAAAATAAACTTCATTCAATTTTTTTACGATATTACAATCATTTCTCTTTCATATCACTATATTTTATATCTCTAATTTTGGTGGTTTACACCTGTATCAATTTTTATTTACGGGTGTGAGATTTGCCGTAATTTTTGTCGACAAAAAATCAGATTTGAAATGTTATTTATTTTACTATCTTCATCATTAGCACACTATATAAACTTCGATATTGGATCACAATTTGTTCGTGGAGCAAAGATTTGGGCATCAGGAACCCCTTCAATGGTTTCAAATCGTCAAGGCTCAACAATGACTCCTAATTCTGTGAGTTTCAAGACAAAAGATGTCCCTGATGGTCACTTAAAAGCAGACAATATCTCAAATCTTCAAGTTAAATACGGAAATCCTTCAATTCAAAATCTGAAATACAATCCATCAACAGGATCACCATATTTAGGTTATTTGTTAGGTCGAAACAACACAGATGGCATCGAGATACCAAAGATTGCCACATCATCAGAGCTTTTTTCATTATTAATCCAAGATCTTCTTTCTTCGAAAGAATTCATTGGCTATGAAGGAGTTTCATTTACAATTCCAGCCTACTATACATATAATCAGCGCAAAGATATCATGAGAGCCATCTATATTGCTAATATTCCTTTCTTAGGACTTTTTGATGACTTCCACGCCATCTCATACGCATATGCACATAAGAATCTCGATAGATTTTCCGGAAAGAACCATTCCGTCTTGTTTATTGACGTTGGAGCCTCTCATGCTTCTGCATTTCGTGTAGATTTTTATTTGAACGAGACAGGATATATTGCAAACCTTACATCTTATGAATGGTCGGAAGAAACAGGAAGCTTCGCGTTTGCACGAGCTTTGGCCAAAGAAAAATCGATTTCTTTCAGAAAAGCAATGAAATTAGTCCAAAACGGAAGAGTTGAAGCAGAAACAATATCAAACGAACTTGATGAACTCCAGAGAATCATCAATATAGCTCTAAATGGCGAAAAAGTTGATTTAGTCCAGTTAATTGGCGGAGCTTCGAAATTATCTTTAGTTGAAGAAGCAGTTAAAACCGCAACACAAATGGAAATAAGTAGAGAACTTGCTTATGTTGATACAAACGCTCTAGGAGGTGCTTTAATGGCTCAAATCATGGCAACTAACATGGAATGGCCAGTTCTGATCATTAGATGCCCAATTTACACCATGGATGTTCGCTGCAAGTCCGTGTCCCAGCATTATTGCGATAAAGGAGGCAAATGCGTCAAAATGATGAAATTAGATGACACAATTTGCAATGATATCGTATTTGAAGCTGATAAATCTGAGATTCCAATAGGAACAGACCCAAAGATCGCCGAATTTCACTTAGACAACATAAGTAAATTCGATCATCTCAAAGGTGATAGCATAAATGGCTTTTTAGAGCTTGATCCCCCTCTTCCACAGCTTGTTTCTGTTGATTGGTGCCTGTCTGCGACCTTGGAATGCAAGCCAATCAACTTTTCTACTTCGGTTCCTACTGAAGAATTCGAATCTTCAAAGGATTTCGTAAATTCTATAATCTCGTTTGAAAGTAGGACCAGAAAAGTTATGGAAATGAAGGCAAAAATCAGAGTTTTGGCTGATGAATTAGTTTCTAACGCAAAAGGTGACGCAATCGAATCAGCGAATAAGATATCAGAGAAAGTCACAAAGATTGCTGACGAAAGTGATGATATTCCTACTCTTGAAGACACAATTAAGCAACTTAAAGAATTATATGAGGAACAGGAAAAGTATACAGCTGATTTCAATCCAGAATTATAAAACTGTCTTATAGGTTAGGTCAATATATCAATATTATTGTTTTTGTGACCAAAAATAAAAAAATTAATAAATTTAGTTTTAAAAATAAATAAAATCCATCTGTCTTCCAAGATGTTTTCTTGTAATTTGAAATTTTTAATGCAAAATGAAGATGAAAAAAAAAAAAATTAAATAAAATAACATTAAATTTTTATTGTTTATACCAAAATTGGATCTTCTTTATTGTTTGCATCTGACACCTCTGGACTTGCCTTCTTCTTCTGAATGACACAGACGATAATCAAAACAGCAATGACAATAAGTAAAAGAATAACGCCAATAGGTATGAGAATCTTCATGAGAAGCTTCTTATTACTATTGTCAGGCGTTGGTTCAATTTGTGGAGTTTGTGGAGGCTCTCTATGAATAAATCCTCCGTCCATTTGAGATTTTGTGGTCTTGTAGTAGTTCTCTACATTTGGATAAGCGAATATGTGTTCGCATTTTACTTGTTGGTCACCTAACTGTACAAATTCACCTTCTTTTGTACAAGTTGCTGTTTGGTCATTATCTTCTATCTTATATGATGTGCTGTCATGAGAAACAAGGTTTACGCACTTTCCTGTGTTTGATTGTGGTGTTCCGATCATTGCACATCTTTGATTTGGTTGGCAAAGGGATAGAGTCTCTTTTGCAGGGATCCAATCAACAATTCTATCAGTACCTGTGTATGTGTTGTTGTTTGGATTGAAAAATTCGCGACTGTCGCAGTAATATTTTTCATCAACGGTCTGATCTGAACTTGTACAATCAATTGACCTCTGGATATTACATCTGGCAAGTCCGATATAGTCAAATGAACAGATTCTGTAGTCATTTCCTACTGTGGCCTGAGTTATTGCATCATTATCATTACAAAGGTAGTTTTGAGGGAATCTTGAAGGTTCGTCAAACAGGAATTCGTCTGTAATTACTCCATTGAAGAACTTGTGATCACCCCAGGCAAGAGGTTCTGAGTAATTGTAGTCGACTTTGTAAAATCCGGTATCTTCAAGCATAGCGAGGGTAATTTCTGATATAGCTAAGTTGAAATTGCTATATCCCATCATTATATCGCCATAAAAAACACGTGCTTCTGTATGACTAAATCTTGACGATTCTCCGCCATCTTCTAGCTCAATTCCAGTAGCTGGTTCGTCTTCCGGAGGATTGAAGCGCTTCTTAATGACTTCCAGAGCCTTGGGAGTAGTCAATAAAGTGAATTGTTTAGCTCCATATTCTGGAATTTGTGATAGTTCTGTCATCTTTGAGACGTTACCGTATGTTTCGTTGGTGGCTGGATTAATCCAATCTGGAAGGTATCCCTTGTGTAATCCTAAAATATGGAAAGTTTCGTGAATAATTGTATTAAACAGTCTTCTGTCCGTAGAATTGACATCGGATGCTGGTACACTGTTTACATAGCTTGCAGACAATATTAACATTCCATGAGATGGAGTTCCATCCATTACATCGAAGATTTTAGAATAAGCTGTTTGTCCTGTTGATTCTAGGGATCTCAAAACGACTTGGATGTAAACATCAGCGCATTCGACTTTAGATGGAGGTGGAGGATAGTCTGAAAATTCTGGATGATCCGAGGTTTGATATGGAATAACTTTGAATCTTGGATATTTAGCATAAAGGAAGTTGGATATGTGTTTGCTAACAGCATCTAATGTTTTTTTAACCTTTTCTATTGAATCAGTATTTGGAATATCGTTAGATGTGCAAGTTGTAGAGAAACAAGTGGTTTCTGAAGTAGAATTGCATAGACATTTTTTGTAATTTAAGTATGAGGTATCATAATGTACACGGAGTGGATAATCATATGTGGAAGCAGAACTGTATATCAACAAGAACATATTTTTTTTTGTAATGAGTTCAATACAAATTGAAAATTGAGACCCCTACGATTTTGTACCGTAGGTTGAATAGCCCGAGACCAATTTCAAAGGTCGTGTACCAATAAAAAATTTTGAATCAATTTACACAACGTGCCCATTTTACTCACTCAATATTTGAGAAAATAATTCAATTTTGAGAAGAATGGTCCTCTGCGTTTTGAGTGAGTGATGAAAAAAAATCTCAGAAAAATTGAATGAGTTTTTATGGCCATGAACCAAATTTGTGAAGTTCCCGTTTAAAAAAAAATGCAACCAAGAACACGAATTCCCGAGTTTGCAGAATTAGAAAACTATAAAAATCTTGGGCTATTGACCCAGATGCAACTCGATTTACTCTATCGAAGAGTAAATGGCGAGTCTTATCAACAAATACGGAATGTTTACTCAATTTCAAAGACGACAGTAGCACGCGCAATCATGCGCACTGCTACTTGTCGTTCATGGACAAAAGGTCAGTCAGGGGGTGGTATGACCCTTTTGTCACTACCAGATGAAATGCAGTTCAAAAAACTTGTTCAAGAGATGGCAGACGACTTGAACTGTATTACAACATCAATGGCCATTGCTGTCTGTACGGAATTACAAAATAGGAGATTAAAATTTGCGGCGCGGGTACTAATCGCTGCAAGATGCCCGCATCTTCTAGCGAAGCTCGATGATTACTGCCCATCGCCATTCCGTGGCTGGCTTAATCATATCGCCACAAGATTGTCAATTCGGATTGTGAGCTCCCAAACTATTGATATGCTCCGACGCTCTACCTGTGACGCAAACCATATTCGCCAATTTTTCCTCTCCAAGCATAGAGAGAGGGTCAAAGTTGCTATTTGTCACTTTTCCACAAGAATATAATGGGGAAAAAGTTATCATATAGTTGATCTCATTCACTGAGGTGAGAGATGCATGTAGTGTAATGTGATAAACAGTGTGATTGCTGCTCTACGTCCTAGGTTCGAGATACATTGGCTTAATTTTTTCTCTTTTTTATTGACGTAAACTATTCAATTTTTGTGTTCTCCATTCAAATTTCAGAATTTTTTTGCAGATTTCACGCTACATTCGAAGTTACCTTTTGTAACAACCACCACTGCCTACGAAAGACGAAAGTGTGTCACGATTTCACCCGGAAATCCGACGGTTGTTTAAGAGTATGCACTTTTGTCACCTACTCGATTGTGAGCTCCCAAACTATTGATATGCTCCGACGCTCTACCTGTGACGCAAACCATATTCGCCAATTTTTCCTCTCCAAGCATAGATACTTTGCCCGCAGGAAGAAGTTTATTGCGAATATGGACGAGACAATGCTCTATTCCAAACGTCGCTATAAAGTTCTTACTGCTGGCCGGAATCGCTCAGTTCGCGCTGAAAAGTCTCAGCTTCCACATCTTACAGGGGTCTGTACCATCTTTGCAGATGGTACAACTATGAAGCCAATGGTGATACTTCCACAAAAGAAGACCCTTGATGCGGAATTGGAAGATCTGGACGCCTTTTTTGTTCGCTCCGAGAGTGGATGGATGAACAAATACCTTTTTATGGTATACTGTATCATGTTCATCTGCAAAGTACAGGAGAAAAGGTCTCAAATGAATGTGTTTGATGCCCAGGTACCTTTTCTCCTAATTGTAGATGGTCATCCATCCAGGCTCTCTTTCTTGGCCGTTCGCCTCTTGAGCGCCTTCAATATCAAGCTTCTTGTTCTCCCAGGCCATACATCTCATATCTTACAACCTCTTGATGTTGGGATTTTTTCTCCCTTGAAGGCCCAATTCAAGAAGTTGTTTGATATGGCGACTATCCGGTACGATCAGCAAGGGCATATGGTGATCAATTATGTATGGAACGCCAGAGAACTGCGCTATATCATAGTTCGCAGCTTCCTTGATGATGTAGTGTGTCTTGCACAGCTACAAACATCGAAAATGCTTTTAAAGCAACAGGAATCTATCCATTGGATATGAACAAACCTCTTGCTTCCAGATACATTGTAGCAAATGGAGTTCCTCCTGCAAGGCCCAATTTTGTCAACGACAAAGTCCTTACAGATCCAAATGTGATGATGCAAGTCTTCCAAATGGAATATGGACGCCCCATGCAGCAACAGGATTGGTATTTCAATCTGTTTGTGGCTATGCAATCTGTTTTGGCCTGGAATGGAGCATATGGCCAGGTTCTTAGTCGTGAGTTACATCTCCTTTATCCTACTGCAGGTGGATTTCAAAAAATCCAATTAAAATGATATAAAGCTGAGGAGCTCCAGGGTGAAGAGGAATTGATGAAGAAAAGAAGCAGCTGCATAATGGAGTGAGGAAGCATCTTGATGAAGAGAGGAAGCACCTTGATCAAGAGAGGAAGTACTTTGAAGAAGAGAGGAAGCACTTTGTTGAAGAGAGGAAGCTGCATGATGTAGTGAGGAAGCTGCATGATGAAGAGAGGAAGCACTTTGTTGAAGAGAGGAAGCTGCTGATGAGAGAGGAAGCTGCATGATGAAGAGAGGAAGCACTTTGTTGAAGAGAGGAAGCACTTTGAAGAAGAGAGGAAGCACTTTGAAGAGAGAAGCTGCATGATGAAGAGAGGAAGCATCTTGTAAGAGAGGAAGTACTTGAAGAAGAGAGGAAGTACTTTGAAGAAGAGAGGAAGCTGCATGATGAAGAGAGGAAGCACCTTGATCAAGAGAGGAAGTACTTTGATTTAGAGAGGAAGCTGCATGATGTAGTGAGGAAGTACTTTGAAGAAGAGAGGAAGTACTTTGAAGAAGAGAGGAAGCATCTTGATGAAGAGAGGAAGCTGCATGATGAAGAGAGGAAGCACTTGATCAAGAAGAGATTTTGAAAGTCATTTAGAGTTTTCTCAAAGCTTTCGTCTGAACGAACTGTAAAGATTCTTCATTTCGTCAAAATTTGTCTATTGAAAATGGACCCTTTATACTATATTGGCTATTTGAAAATATAATAATCGAACATAAATGCGTCTAGTCTACTATTTGAAACAATAACTTCTTCTATATCTATTGCCTTGCATTTCTGAAGGATTTGAGCCAACGATTGATTAGTTCAAACCCCTGTGATAACTCGGGATGAAATTTCTTCATCTGAAATAGTCCTACCAGCATTTGTAAAGATATAGTCTAACGGTTTTGTATCTGCTACTTTTGTTCTTTGTTTTTCAACCTGAAGCATTTAATATATGTAAAAATATATGTTTTTAAAATGGTATGCCATTTCATATTTCTCATCTAACAAACAAGTTTCCCAACGGTCTTCTCCAACAAACTCAGCGTACAGTTCAAATAAAATTTAAAAAATTGTCACTTTTTTGAAAAAACGTTTTTATTTCATGCAATGTTTTTATTTCTGTGCCGTCTTCAAGTATGCCCAGTACTTACGCTTGGAGAGGACATGAACTTCGGTGAAAATTTTGTCCAATTTGAATCGACCCATCTTTTCACCGACCATACCCATTTCAATGAGTTTGTTGTATCCTTCTTCGTTCGTCATGAGTGCGTCAATGTTCTCATAGTAAACCTTGACTTTGGATTTGACTTCGGAGAAGAATTTGTTGTAGTTGTCAAGGACTGCCTTTGCGAACTGAGGGTAAGACCAATGTTCGACAATAGGTTTTAATGTGGTTACTAAGCCACTTTGACCTTGAGTGAATTCGTACTTCAAAACAAAAGGAGAAAACCTTTCAAACAAAGTTGTCGACCTTCTCATAATGTGTTACTCTTCATCTCTTGAGGTTTCTTAATGGAATATCCCCATGTCGAATTCATAAGCAATTTGAGTGTCATTGCAAGTTTGGGGTTTGAAGCTTTCCTAATATCATACAGTTGTTGTATGACTTTTCCAACTGTATAGTTCCTTCCCGGGAACTCACCATCTTCGTTTGGAATTCCAGTCGGAATATATTGGACAAACCTCATGTATGCAGCGTTAAGGTCGACATAGTATATCTTTTCATCTGATCGAACTTGTCGCAACCAATTGGTCAGTTTGTGGAAATTCAAGTGAGTCTCTTATCTTCTGAGAAACTTCTCCTGTTTATCTATATCAGTCGAAGCACTTGTTTCATATAAAACCTTCTGACCTAACTAGATGCTCTCCAATACAATTTGACGTTAATTGGATGTCTCAATGGAAGTTGTTTATAGCATCTTGAAGTTCTGCAACCTCATTGGAAGTTCTTCTGGTTCAGGTTGGTATCCGAACAATCCAACTCCTTGTGGAATTGTGTACTTCTTTTGTACTAGAACTTTGTCTGGAACAACTTTTGGTCTTGCTAACAGTGAAAAGTTTGTTTCGTCTTTTGGTACAAAAGTTTCTGTCAGCTTGTCATCTGGAATTGGTTCCAACAAACCTTTCTCGAAAGAATGTTTACAGCTCTGACAATGTTGCACTTGCCTTTTCCGAACAATGGGTTGTAAGACTTTCGTTCAACATGAAGTGGTTGTGGAACATTACAATCTTCAACCATGGCAATTTGAACTCAACAACATAGTCGTCATGTGAAGAACCTTTAGCTGTAGGTATGTTGACTCGGATATTGAGAGGAGAGTCAATTGGTATTTTAGTTGAGAGTCTATCTATAACAAATTTGACATCAGAATCAGACATCTCACTCGAAATTAAATGATCAAAAATATTATAGAAAATGGATAAATTTTAGCCAAACAATAATGTGTGTCATTGTTCAATTGCCTATCTAGAATTCCTCTTCATAAATAAATATTACATTCAATTCAATGGGCAACAGTAATGTTTTTGCATGTGAAGCATTGTAAATACATTATTATGTAGAATGGTTTATAATAAAGCATTGATACTTAAATCATTGATATTTTCAATGCAAATATATAATTAAGACCTTATTAAACAAAAAAATACGCTTTCCAAATATACAACAAGTTTATTTTCTCTCTATTACACGACATCTCTTATACAAATCTTTTGTTAAATCAGCAAGTCTATTATATTGATGGACATACGAGGGGACGGTGTTCATTAGTGAAATTATTTGTCCTGCTCGTTAAATCTTATTTTGTGCTCAAGAGCGCACCATTGAACTGTAAGAAGCCATTATCGCATCCTGTGAAGCTGTATTTGATGCCAGCCTTCGTAACATTTCCCATCCATACTAGAGTATTCAAAATTGGCTGATCCATGGAAGGATTCCAGCATCTGCTCCATTCTGGCGAATCTATCATCAAATTGAGCAGTTTTAAGTACATGTCTGCTCTACCTGCAATGATCCTGAACAAATGATGAATTGGTGCCTCATTTGTCCTAAAATTGGTTCTTTATAACATTTTGATAGCCAATTTGTATTCCAACGCGAGGAACGAATAAAATGTGGTTCAACTAAATGTTAATCTGTCAGAATTGATATGGGAATGAAATGGATCGCCTTGAAAATAAACATCAAAAGTATTCAGTATGAAATATGCGATCAACTTTATTTATATTGTTTTTCAACCATTTTTGTTCATATTCATATCTTATCATATGAGGTACATTTCTCACGATTTGGTTTTGGATCTTTTTTTCTTGAATAACTTCAACTTGAAGACTATGAAACATCGATTGCTGATAGCGAGTTATTGGAAATTTGTAGGCGTGAATAAAATATTCTGCAATTTGATCCGGTCGATCTAAGAGATTTAATTGCCAGCTCAAGTCCTTGACTGAATTTGGATCGCTAGAAGAAAACAACATCTCTTTTTGATGAAGTAATTGAATTTGTTGAACTATTAAGATTGCAGAAAAAATGAGAGTCTTTTGCAGTAACAGGTCTAGGTAATGGTTGTTCGAATTATTAGAAATGGAATAGTTGCGAAGATTACGTAAATAATATAATGAAATTTAGTAAAAAGCAATCTCTTCTTGATATTCAAAAAATGATTTCATAACAGAATATCGCTAATAACATATATACTAAGCAATAAGAGTTTGTTAATAGTGATTATAGTGTCTTGAATGACAATTTAAAAAAATGAAAATTATATCTTTTGTACTTATGCGAGATCTCAATCAATAATTAAATTCTTAATGTAATATATATTGTGATATTCTCAGCCTTCAAATTCCAGAATAACAAGTTAATTTTAAAAATTTCAATGATTTTCAACATGAATATTCAAACAGTTTATTATAATATAAATATATCTAATGCTTCTTACAGGTTTCTTAATATGTTGTGTTATATCGATTCCATCAAGGTCTAATTGTCTTCCCTGGCTTATAGATCTTATCTCCATCATCTTGTGAGAAGTTCTTGGTGTTGCCAAAGTTATTTCAGGTTCCATTTCTTCTATTTCTGATTTTGGACGAGCTTTTGATTTTTGGTAGATTTGATCATAAGAAATCTTTCGTTTTCTTGTGTGTCTAGGAGGATCTGTAGAATTGAGGCGGATTTGCGTTGAAATCGCTGCAACAGAAGAATTTTTTTGAGATTCAAAGAATTGAATCTGCAATTCTGTCCTTTTGTTGAAATTATCGATTTCTGCTTGTTGTTTGCGCAACAAATTTTGATAATCTACATTATTTTGCGATAGCTCGATTATTTGCATTTTAGTTTCAATTTTTTCTAAATCAACTGCTCTCTTGGCGTAACAATTTCGGCCCTTGGTAATCTCGAGATTACTTGTTTTTTCTATATTACGAAGATTTAGTAGTTGAGGAGAGGTTTTGCGAATTCTAGCATTGTTTTTGGGTCCTTCCAATGATTACTGAACTCTTGAAGTTGCTCTTCATGAGATTCTTTAATTTTTTGAAGTTCTTTCATTCGTTTATTTTTATAATTTTCTATTTCTGTGTTTATATTGTTGCGTATTTGTGATATTTTTGTTTGGAGCGCACTTCTTGCTGTTGAAATTCTCCTTGATGTGTTCGCATTTTCTCCATTTCGCGTTCACGAAATAAGCTTGCTGCATATCTTTTGAAATTTGTTGGTATTTGGCAAGCATCTTTGTACATACGACTCGCTGCTGCATCTATCCTGAGTTTATCTAGATATTGGAATACTGCAGCCTTTTGTGAAGGCGGTGGAAGCTCTTTGCTTTTCACAAAGTTATCTATATACACTTGAACGCTGCGCCCCATCCCTGATGGTTGTCTTTGCGGTATAGAATCAATTGGAATTGGAGGTACAGAATTCATTTATATTATGAAGGGGGATTAAATTTTTCTCCCCCTAATTAAAAAGAAAAAATCGTGAAATCAACGAAAAATATACATTGTATCATAATAACACTTGGATATAATGAAACAATGTATAGACTCGATTACAAATTAATTAGAATAATCATCAGAGTAGCAATAAATTTCCCAATTAATTTTCAAATGTGGTTAAGAATAAATTTATATACCTGAAATTTTTCTTTGTGCCTAATCTATGCAACTATAGTTGAATTATCTATCGGAATCCAAAAAATTAAAAATATGTATACAATTTGATTTTTTTACTTGGTAAATTTGTGTGACTGTTTGTTTTACTAATAATGAAGATTTAAAGCTTGCAGTTTTGATATATACATGAGGAAGGTTGTCATCATTTTTTATTCCTTGAATTTGATTTCAACTTCGAAGTCATCGCGAGAAGGATCATCATTTTTATTCACTGGAAGTTGTCCCCCTGTGGCATTGGTTCTTGAGCTGCTTTAGAATCATCATCACCTTCTTCGATTTCTTTTCTTTCTTGGAGTCCTTATCCTTATGATCATTTTCCTTACGTTCTTTGTCACTGCGATCGTGATGAAGATGCTTGCTTTTCTCTTTCGAGCTCATTTAAAATTATGAAAAATAAACTTCATTCAATTTTTTTACGATATTACAATCATTTCTCTTTCATATCACTATATTTTATATCTTCTAATTTTGGTGGTTTTACACCTGTATCAATTTTTATTTACGGGTGTGAGATTTGCCGTAATTTTTGTCGACAAAAAAATCAGATTTGAAATGTTATTTATTTACTATCTTCATCATTAGCACACTATATAAACTTCGATATTGGATCACAATTTGTTCGTGGAGCAAAGATTTGGGCATCAGGAACCCTTCAATGGTTTTTCAAATCGTCAAGGCTCAACAATGACTCCTAATTCTGTGAGTTTCAAGACAAAAGATGTCCCTGATGGTCACTTAAAAGCAGACAATATCTCAAATCTTCAAGTTAAATAGGAAATCCTTCAATTCAAAATCTGAAATACAATCAATCAACAGGATCACCATATTTAGGTTATTTGTTAGGTCGAAACAACACAGATGGCATCGAGATACAAAGATTGCCAATCATCAGAGCTTTTTCATTATTAATCCAAGTCTTCTTTCTTCGAAAGAATTCATTGGCTATGAAGGAGTTTCATTTACAATTCAGCCTACTATACATATAATCAGCGCAAAGATATCATGAGAGCCATCTATATTGCTAATATTCCTTTCTTAGGACTTTTTGATGACTTCCACGCATCTCATACGCATATGCACATAAGAATCTCGATAGATTTTCCGGAAAAGACCATTCCGTCTTGTTTATTGACGTTGGAGCCTCTCATGCTTCTGCATTTCGTGTAGATTTTTATTTGAACGAGACAGGATATATTGCAAACCTTACATCTTATGATTGGTCGGAAGAAACAGGAAGCTTCGCGTTTGCACGAGCTTTGCCAAAGAAAAATCGATTTCTTTCAGAAAAGCAATGAAATTAGTCCAAAACGGAAGAGTTGAAGCAGAAACAATATCAAACGAACTTGATGAACTCCAGAGAATCATCAATATAGCTCTAAATGGCGAAAAGTTGATTTAGTCCAGTTAATTGGCGGAGCTTCGAAATTATCTTTAGTTGAAGAAGCAGTTAAAACCGCAAACAAATGGAATAAGTAGAGAACTTGCTTATGTTGATACAAACGCTCTAGGAGGTGCTTTAATGGCTCAAATCATGGCAACTAACATGGAATGGCCAGTTCTGATCATTAGATGCCCAATTTACACCATGGATGTTCGCTGCAAGTCCGTGTCCAGCATTATTGCGATAAAGGAGGCAAATGCGTCAAAATGATGAAATTAGATGACACAATTTGCAATGATATCGTATTTGAAGCTGATAAATCTGAGATTCCAATAGGAACAGACCAAAGATCGCCGAATTCCACTATAGACAACATAAGTAAATTCGATCATCTCAAAGGTGATAGCATAAATGGCTTTTTAGAGCTTGATCCCCTCTTCCACAGCTTGTTTCTGTTGATTGGTGCCTGTCTGCGACCTTGGAATGCAAGCCAATCAACTTTTCTACTTCGGTTCCTACTGAAGAATTCGAATCTTCAAAGGATTTCGTAAATTCTATAATCTCGTTTGAAAGTAGGACCAGAAAGTTATGGAAATGAAGGCAAAAATCAGAGTTTTGGCTGTGAATTAGTTTCTAACGCAAAAGGTGACGCAATCGAATCAGCGAATAAGATATCAGAGAAAGTCACAAAGATTGCTGACGAAAGTGATGATATTCCTACTCTTGAAGACACAATTAAGCAACTTAAAGAATTATATGAGGAACAGGAAAAGTATACAGCTGATTTCAATCCAGAATTATAAAACTGTTTTATAGGTTAGGTCAATTATCAATATTATTGTTTTTGTGACAAAAAAATAAAAAAATTATAAATTTAGTTTTAAAAATAATAAAATCATCTGTCTTCCAAGATGTTTTCTTGTAATTTGAAATTTTTAATGCAAAATGAAGATGAAAAAAAAAAATTAAATAAAATAACATTAAATTTTTATTGTTATACCAAAATTGGATCTTCTTTATTGTTTGCATCTGACACCTCTGGACTTGCCTTCTTCTTCTGAATGACACAGACGATAATCAAAAAGCAATGACAATAAGTAAAAGATAACGCCAATAGGTATGAGAATCTTCATGAGAAGCTTCTTATTACTATTGTCAGGCGTTGGTTCAATTTGTGGAGTTTGTGGAGGCTCTCTATGAATAAATCCTCCGTCCATTTGAGATTTTGTGGTCTTGTAGTAGTTCTCTACATTTGGATAAGCGAATATGTGTTGCGATTTTACTTGTTGGTCACCTAACTGTACAAATTCACCTTCTTTTGTACAAGTTGCTGTTTGGTCATTATCTTCTATCTTATATGATGTGCTGTCATGAGAAACAAGGTTTACGCACTTTCCTGTGTTTGATTGTGGTGTTCCGATCATTGCACATCTTTGATTTGGTTGGCAAAGGGATAGAGTCTCTTTTGCAGGGATCCAATCAACAATTCTATCAGTACCTGTGTATGTGTTGTTTTTTTGGATTGAAAAATTCGCGACTGTCGCAGTAATATTTTTCATCAACTTCTGATCTGAACTTGTACAATCATTTGACCTCTGGATATTAATCTGGCAAGTCGAATAGTCAAATGAACAGATTCTGTAGTCATTTCCTACTGTGGCCTGAGTTATTGCATCATTATCATTACAAAGGTAGTTTTGAGGGAATCTTGAAGGTTCGTCAAACAGGAATTCGTCTGTAATTACTCCATTGAAGAACTTGTGATCACCCCAGGCAAGAGGTTCTGAGTAATTGTAGTCGACTTTGTAAAATCCGGTATCTTCAAGCATAGCGAGGGTAATTTCTGATATAGCTAAGTTGAAATTGCTATATCCATCATTATATCGCCATAAAAACACGTGCTTCTGTATGACTAAATCTTTGACGATTCTCCGCCATCTTCTAGCTCAATTCCAGTAGCTGTTCGTCTTCCGGAGGATTGAAGCGCTTTTAATGACTTCCAGAGCCTTGGGAGTAGTCAATAAAGTGAATTGTTTAGCTCCATATTCTGGAATTTGTGATAGTTCTGTCATCTTTGAGACTTTACCGTATGTTTCGTTGGTGGCTGGATTAATCCAATCTGGAAGGTATCCCTTGTGTAATCCTAAAAATGGAAAGTTTCGTGAATAATTGTATTAAACAGTCTTCTGTCCGTAGAATTGACATCGGATGCTGGTACACTGTTTACATAGCTTGCAGACAATATTAACATTCCATGAGATGGAGTTCCATCCATTACATCGAAGATTTTAGAATAAGCTGTTTGTCCTGTTGATTCTAGGGATCTCAAAACGACTTGGATGTAAACATCAGCGCATTCGACTTTAGATGGAGGTGGAGGATAGTCTGAAAATTCTGGATGATCCGAGTTTGATTGGAATAACTTTGAATCTTGGATATTTAGCATAAGGAAGTTGGATATGTGTTTGCTAACAGCATCTAATGTTTTTTTAACCTTTTCTATTGAATCAGTATTTGGAATATCGTTAGATGTGCAAGTTGTAGAGAAACAAGTGGTTTCTGAAGTAGAATTGCATAGACATTTTTTGTAATTTAAGTATGAGGTATCATAATGTACACGGAGTGGATAATCATATGTGGAAGCAGAACTGTATATCAACAAGAACATATTTTTTTTTTGTAATGAGTTCAATACAAATTGAAAATTGAGACCCCTACGATTTTGTACCGTAGGTTGAATAGCCCGAGACCAATTTCAAAGGTCGTGTACCAATAAAAAATTTTGAATCAATTTACACAACGTGCATTTTACTCACTCAATATTGAGAAAATAATTCAATTTTGAGAAGAATGGTCCTCTGCGTTTTGAGTGAGTGATGAAAAAAAATCTCAGAAAAATTGAATGAGTTTTTATGGCCATGAACCAAATTTGTGAAGTTCCCGTTTAAAAAAAAATGCAACCAAGAACACGAATTCCCGAGTTTGCAGAATTAGAAAACTATAAAAATCTTGGGCTATTGACCCAGATGCAACTCGATTTACTCTATCGAAGAGTAAATGGCGAGTCTTATCAACAAATACGGAATGTTTACTCAATTTCAAAGAGACAGTAGCACGCGCAATCATGCGCACTGCTACTTGTCGTTCATGGACAAAAGGTCAGTCAGGGGGTGGTATGACCCTTTTGTCACTACCAGATGAAATGCAGTTCAAAAACTTGTTCAAGAGATGGCAGACGACTTGAACTGTTACAACATCAATGGCCATTGCTGTCTGTACGGAATTACAAAATAGGAGATTAAATTTGCGGCGCGGGTACTAATCGTTGCAAGATGCCGCATCTTCTAGCGAAGCTCGATGATTACTGCCATCGCCATTCCGTGGCTGGCTTAATCATATCGCCACAAGATTGTCAATTCGGATTGTGAGCTCCCAAACTATTGATATGCTCCGACGCTCTACCTGTGACGCAAACCATATTCGCCAATTTTTCCTCTCCAAGCATAGAAGAGGGTCAAAGTTGCTATTTGTCACTTTTCAACAAGAATATAATGGGGAAAAAGTTATCATATAGTTGATCTCATTCACTGAGGTGAGAGATGCATGTAGTGTAATGTGATAAACAGTGTGATTGCTGCTCTACGTCCTAGGTTCGAGATACATTGGCTTAATTTTTTCTCTTTTTTATTGACGTAAACTATTCAATTTTTGTGTTCTCCATTCAAATTTCAGAATTTTTTTGCAGATTTCACGCTACATTCGAAGTTACCTTTTGTAACAACACCACTGCCTACGAAAGACGAAAGTGTGTCACGATTTCACCGGAAATCCGACGGTTGTTTAAGAGTATGCACTTTTGTCACTACTCGATTGTGAGCTCCAAACTATTGATATGCTCCGACGCTCTACCTGTGACGCAAACCATATTCGCAATTTTTCCTCTCCAAGCATAGATACTTTGCCCGCAGGAAGAAGTTTATTGCGAATATGGACGAGACAATGCTCTATTCCAAACGTCGCTATAAAGTTCTTACTGCTGGCCGGATTGCTCAGTTCGCGCTGAAAAGTCTCAGCTTCACATCTTACAGGGGTCTGTACCATCTTTGCAGATGGTACAACTATGAAGCCAATGGTGATACTTCCACAAAAGAAGACCTTGATGCGGAATTGGAAGATCTGGACGCCTTTTTGTTCGCTCCGAGAGTGGATGGATGAACAAATACCTTTTTATGGTATACTGTATATGTTCATCTGCAAAGTAAAGGAGAAAAGGTCTCAAATGAATGTGTTTGATGCCCAGGTACCTTTTCTCCTAATTGTAGATGGTCATCCATCAAGGCTCTCTTTCTTGGCCGTTCGCCTCTTGAGCGCCTTCAATATCAAGCTTCTTGTTCTCCCAGGCCATACATCTCATATCTTACAACCTCTTGATGTTGGGATTTTTTCTCCCTTGAAGGCCCAATTCAAGAAGTTGTTTGATATGGCGACTATCCGGTACGATCAGCAAGGGCATATGGTGATCAATTATGTATGGAACGCCAGAGAACTGCGCTATATCATAGTTCGCAGCTTCCTTGATGATGTATGTGTTCTTGCACAGCTACAAACATCGAAAATGCTTTTAAAGCAACAGGAATCTATCATTGGATATGAACAAACCTCTTGCTTCCAGATACATTGTAGCAAATGGAGTTCTCCTGCAAGGCCCAATTTTGTCAACGACAAAGTCCTTACAGATCCAAATGTGATGATGCAAGTCTTCCAAATGGAATATGGACGCCCCATGCAGACAGGATTGGTATTTCAATCTGTTTGTGGCTATGCAATCTGTTTTGGCCTGGAATGGAGCATATGGCCAGGTTCTTAGTCGTGAGTTACATCTCCTTTATCCTACTGCAGGTGGATTTCAAAAAATCCAATTAAAATGATATAAAGCTGAGGAGCTCCAGGGTGAAGAGGAATTGATGAAGAAAAGAAGCAGCTGCATAATGGAGTGAGGAAGCATCTTGATGAAGAGAGGAAGCACCTTATCAAGAGAGGAAGTACTTTGAAGAGAGAGGAAGCACTTTGTTGAAGAGAGGAAGCTGCATGATGTAGTGAGGAAGCTGCATGATGAAGAGAGGAAGCACTTTGTTGAAGAGAGGAAGCTGCTGATGTAGTGAGGAAGCTGCATGATGAGAGAGGAAGCACTTTGTTGAAGAGAGGAAGCACTTTGAAGAAGAGAGGAAGCACTTTGAAGAAGAGACGAAGCTGCATGATGAAGAGAGGAAGCATCTTGATCAAGAGAGGAAGTACTTTGAAGAAGAGAGGAAGTACTTTGAAGAAGAGAGGAAGCTGCATGATGAAGAAGAGGAAGCACCTTGATCAGAGAGGAAGT